AAATTTCAAAGCGGAATTTAGTTTTTTTAAAAGAAAAAAAATCATATATACATGAATGGAATCTGTGGGATCAAAAAAGGCTTCATGTTTGAAAAACAAAACACCAGTGCAATGTGTAAATTGGCCCTCACTGTCCCTTCTGAGAGAATAAGAAACCTGGGTTATTTGTTGGATGAGGGTAAGGAAGAATATAATAACAAAACAAACAACCTCCTTACCAATCTTAGAATTTTACTTGGAAGTTGTCCAGAGAGTTGGCTATATGTATACCAACATGATCCTTGGCAATAAACTTAGAGGATAGATTTACACAACTCCCAATATTCTTCATGTGTGCCTGACATTTCTCTTTTCGGTAGTTTTATTTCCAAAGAGGCTTTTCCTTCATTTCCTTCCCCAAACAGACAACATTGCTGAGAGGATGGTTGCTATGGTTCAGTTCAGAAATTGTTTTGCTTCAGTAGTGTGTAGGCAGTCCTGATAAAACTAAGATCTTTGGGAAGAAATCATGCTATATAAACGAGGTACTTAACTACAGTTCTCATCACCTTGTCAGAAAAAAAATCCAGGCTTTTTCCCCCATACATACCCATGCTTCCTTGGTTTAGTTTGGGGTGACCTTCTCGAAGGCACAATGCCACAAACATAACATTAACAATGACTCTCTAACAGAAAAACCCAACCAAAAAGCAATTTTGGTTCCCCATAGAATAAAGATTTAAGTTAGTGTCAACCCATCTTTCATTGTTCTTTTCAACTTTCACAAGTAGGAAAGATTGTAGACTTTTTATCTTATTAAGAAAACATGAAATGTATTTCAGAATAGGGTGCAAAATTAAGAAGGCTGTTTTCCAAATGGTGTAAGAACTTCATAATCCCTTGTGTTGTTTCTGCTAATTAGCAATGACATGTGGATTGCTGAATCTCCCCAAGAGATTTCACTGTAAGATCAAAGAAAAAATAGGATAGGCTAGAAGTAAAAAATTTCTATAAAAAATCTATAGATTTTTTTCATAAAACAATGAGGCTTAGAAATGAAATGTGTGGGAAAGGTGCATGAATAGTGCTGCACATGAACTTGTGTTTTAATGAGAGCCTGCTCTGTTTCTCTCAGAAAGTCTCCTATTAAATAACATGCTCCAAATGTGATATTAAGAGATTGTTTGGGGTGTTGCCTGGCCGGTGTGGCTCAGTAGTTGAGTGTCAACTTATGAACTGCGGGGTCACGGTTCCATTCCTGGTCAAGGTACATACCTGGGTTGTGGGCTCAATCCCCAGAAGGGGGCATTCAGGAGGAAGCTGATCAATGATTCTCTCTCATTATTGATGTTTCTATCTCTCTCACTCCCTCTCCTTTCCTCTTTCTGAAATCAATTTAAAAAACATATAAAAAAATAAAATCTTAAAAAAGAGGAGTTTGTTTGGGGAGCAAATACAATCCAGAGCCAAAGCACAAAAAGTACAGGAATTAATGGAACCCAAACTAGAGCAACTCTTTAAAACATATTCTTTAAAGTCTTCTTGCAAATACTCTACAGAGACAGCTGCTGGGTTTGTGCCAGTGACCCATTCTGAGGGTGCTGACAGGAGCTTCCTGTTATTTAGCCGCTCACTGCAAGGCAGCTAGGCATCTTTCCTCTTTTTATCCTGTGGCCATATTTAGGCTGCTGAGTATCCAAGTTTCATTACCCAAGGGCAGCTCCAGGCTCCTTTGGAATAGGCTAGGAATGTGGGCTGGGACCAAGAGAATGAGCCCAGAGGGCCTGCTACTCCAATGGCATTTACCTGAGGACCATCCTATCTCCAGCCAAGTCAATGTAAAAGCCTGACAAGCATTGTGGTAGATTTTCCCCATGTCTCAGATACACCCATACACACTGGGGAAATCTAAATTAGAGGTTCACTAACAATCATCACCCTGAAAGGGAAGGAGGACCTAAGTAACTCTGGAAAACAATATTTTGGCTAATAAGGCTAAAAACAAAAATAATGGCATAAATATTATACTCAGTACATTTATTTCCATAGTTACATGGGTTAGGTATTCTAAAACTAATTTATAATATACTAAGATTAAATAAGTAAGTAAATATATTTAGATAATAAGCTTCAGGTTATTCACTGTCAGATAAAAAATTCTAGATAAGCAAGAAGGAAAGGCTATGCTAAAACCTGTGGTGTTGGGTTAGGATTGAAGTTATTTTATTGTATACTAGAGGCCTGATGCATGAAATTTGTGCACTCGGGGGCGGTCCCTCAGCCCTGACTGTGCCCTCTTGCAGTATGAGAGTCCTCGAGGGATGTCCGACTGACGGCTTAGGCCCACTCCAGGACATCCTTAGCGCTTCTGCAGAGGCGGGAGAGGCTCCTGCCACTGCCGCTGCGCTTGCCAGCCATGAGCCCAGCTCAGGGCTTCTGGATGAGTGGCGCTCCCCCTGTGGGAGCACACTGACCACCAGGGGACAGCGCCTGCATTGAGCATCTACCCCCTGGTGGTCAGTGCACATCATAGCGACCGGTCATTCCACTATTCGGTCAATTTGCATATTAGCCTTTTATGATATAGGATACACAAGATAGATACAGAAATAAGTTACAAATAAGGAAGGGGGAAGGATTGTATGACCCTGTGTGTTGCACTGGACCTGGAGGCACCAGTGTGAACTCATGAATTTTAATATGCATACTGACAGCCACAGAAATAAATAAAATGTGTGTGCACGTGTGGGTTTGTATACATACACATATTTCCCATTATGTCTGCCGAGAGGGGAGGGCCTAGAGACAATGACATTCCAGGAGCAGTGAACATACCTAATTCCATGATCTTGGTTTCTAAATATTATTCTCCAATAAAAGGAACCAGGTTCCATGTAGAAGTGGTTGATTCCACGGTTAGGGCAGGGAAAAACAAGATTAGCCTAAAACATCTTGTGGTGATAGACAGAAAGGAAGTACCCAAAAAAGATGGGTTTTGAAAGGGCAAAAGAGTCAACTTGAAACATTTCCTAATGGCCAAAGTTAGAACAATTTGAGTAAGAAAGTAAACAACAAAAATATTAGGTTATAACCCACAAAATAAAATAAATACCCATGAGTCTATATTGATACAGACAAATTATTGAATAAATGAATAAATAAATAACTGGGGAAGAAGAGGTAGTTTTTCCTTTTAGAAGAATTTCAATTAATAAATGGAGAAGAAATGAGGGAAATACAAAATTTTCATTAGACAAATATCACATTATATAATTGCTACAGGCAAGATCCACCAATGGATGCTAAAATTAATAGGTGAAAGTTTAAGAATAAGCAGGATAGCTGCATAATTTCACAATATTTTCTCTAAGACATTTATGGGTTACAAAGGGAAAATAGTAACTTTACAGTGGGGAAACCCATCAGACACAATCTTAAGTGATCAAGGTTAACATCAGCAGTAATAAGACATATTAATGTTATGTACCCCCAATATGATGTGCTGAGATGGGCAGAACCTCACTTCTTGTCGTATTCTTACCAAAAATGCATAATCTCAATCTAAGCAGAAGAAAACATCAGAAAACCCAAATTGGGAGACATTCTACAATATGCCTGACTAGTACTCTTCAAAAATGTCAAGATCATAAAAGATAAGGAAAGATAGGAACTGGGAGGAGACTATGGACATAACAACTAAATGCAACACAAAATTATGGACTGAGTCCTAGAACAGAAAAAGGATATAACAGAAAAACTGGTGACATTCTAATCCTATATAATAAAAGCCTAATATGCTAATTGTCTGACCATTTCTTCAACCAATCACTATGACACACATTGATCTCTAGGGGGCAGATGCTCCGACTGGTAGGTTAGTTTGCTGCTGGGGTCCAGCTGATCGGGACTGGGCGAGATGGGCCGGACACACCCTGGAGCCCTCCCGCGGTCCCTCCCCGGCCCCGATAGTGCACTGGTGGGGTCTCTCGGCTATGGCCTGCACCCTCTCGCAATCCGGGACCCTTTGGGAGATGTTGGAGAGCTGGTTTTGGCCCAATCCCTGCAGGCCAGGCTGAGGGACCCCATTAGTGCATGAATCCGTGCACCGGGTCTCTAGTAGAAGCTATCGTTTAGTTAATGGTATTTAATGGTATCATACCAATGTTAATTTCCTAGTTTTTATAATTACACTATGCTTATGCAAGATATTAATTTTGGGGAAAGCTGGGTGAAGGGTATTCAGGAACTCTGTGTACTCGTTTTTGCAACTATTCTGTATGTCTAAGATCATTTAAAAATAAAAACTATAATAACAAAGTATAGGTTCAAATCAAGCAGAATCTGACAAAGTGGAGATAATTCATTCACAATCTCATGTTTACATACACTGGCTGGTCCTTCTAAAAATTGAGTAATCTGTTTTAGCAGGGCACTACATTTGTAAAATTCTTATGTGTCTAAAATTCATACCTAGCACTTATATCTAAAACATACATTATTATTTCTTCTTGTATAGTGGACTTCCCCAATAAAGTTTAAAAGTTAATCTTATTGGGAACATATATCTTATTCATCTCTCACTGGTTGGGTAATATATCGTGGCACTGTTTCCTTATGTTTCTCAAGATGGCCCCCTGAGTACTCATTTGCTTCCTACTTTCTTTCAGAAATCTGACCTGTTACTGCAGGAGGTCACACCCACTCTGTCAGTCTCAGGAAGGACACAGCATCTAAGAGTCTTTGCCAATCTTTCTCAAAATGTTAATCCCAATTCTTAACATTTCCTCCTACCACACTTCCCTCTTTATTCCTAAAGTCAAAACTCTGACCAAACTCTTGTTGTTTTATATCTGAATTCGTATGACTTCTTGACCGTCAGTCTAAAAAGCCACCATCAAATATGTTTAGCTTAAAAAAAAAAATCGGCTCAGTTGGGCTTAGTGTTACTTTATCCCATCTCTGATGGAGCTTTTGTCATTTATGCCACAGAATGCGAAGTAAAGAAACATTACAATTCCCACCTGGTGATTTTCCTTGTAAGTTTGGATTACGAACTCTTTCAGTTTCTTCTTTCTTTCTTTTGCCATTTTTTCTTCCTCCAGAAGAGTATGAACATCTTGAAACATGCCTTTTTCTGGATATTTTGGAGAACTTTCTTCTTGCTTTTTCTTCTCTCTATTATAACAATTTAAAAATACACACATGAACAACAGACTTAACAATGAGTAATTACAACAGACCATAGTGGAATGACGACTGAATTTTCCATCAGGAGACACAGATTTTTAGATCTGGCTTTAAAGCTACATAATAGGGTAGGTTTTTTTGAGCCTTAGTTTATTCCTTTTTAAAATAAAATACAGGTAAAATGAAATAAAATTGTTATAATGTACTCTGAAAAGTAGACATCTCTATAGACATTTTAGTAAAGTATCTTTATTGAGTTTAATATTGAGTGATATTGTGATCAAAATTTGAGAGTTAACAACTACTAGGTATTCTCTAACAGACATAAATTCTCTCTCTTCTCATAAGGGTGGCACAAAAAAGAAATGAGATTTTTACAATAAGGCATTTATAAGGTTTCTAGGGAGAAAGATAATAAAAGAATCAGGTGTTATTGAGTAAGAGCAGAATTTATATTAATCTTGAAAGAGCTAAAAAGAGAAAATACCAGAACTTAATAAAAATAAAGAAAAGGCCTTCAGGCAAGTCACAAGAGTCTGTTAGTAACTTCATTGCTCATCTTTCTGGTCATCCTCTTTCTCGCCCAATTATTGATTCTTTCTTATCTAGGTCATCCTTATATTTATGTAAGCTCATAGCCACTGCCTTCTTGTTGGAGTATATTAAACTGCATAGGTATGTGAATAAGGTCTATATACTACTAATGTGGTAGTAAACATTAACACCAAGTCAGGAATCAGGATTCATGGACTTTGGCCACAAATCAGCTGTGAAAACTCAGGCAAGTCACCCAGCCTTTCTCCACATCACTTTACATTTGTGGGAACTCAAACTGAAACTGGGATGTCCGAGTATTCTGCAGACATTCTCTCACTAATTCTCTTATCTCAGTGGTTGGCAAACTGTGGCTCGTGAGCCACATGTGGCTCTTTGGCCCCTTGAGTGTGGCTCTTCCACAAAATACCACGTGGGGGAGCACATGTATAGTGCGACTGAAACTTCATGGCCCATGCGCAGAAGTCGGTATTTTGCCAACCACTGTCCTATCTCATACAAGGGAGCACACGGTGTTATATCTTATCTCATACAAGGGAGCACACAGTGTTATATCTTACCACTTGGTTAAGGTGGCTTCTCCAGTACAAAGTTGCTATTTTCCCCTTTGTAATTAATAAATCTCTTAAGGGAAGCTCCTTTGAAACTATGCAATGAAGCAGATTTAGGTTAGCTTACAAATAAGTTAAAAAACCCTACCAACAATACAATTTAACTGAATTTTTCCAAACTTACCAATGCCACACGACACTGTATTAGATGGTTTTAGGCAGATCATAGTGGGCATTTAAAGAAATACAGTTCTAATGCCATGGATCTGATTTTTAAAAATAAGTATCTGTTGTGAAAGTATCTGCTCATTGTGAAAAAGTGGAGGTATACAAGCCATCTATAGTCCTCCCAGAAAAAACACACTAACATGTCAGTGCTATTTCATTGCAGAATCGTTGTTTATTAATTCCTCCACTATTTATTAATGCCTGCTATCATAAATAATATTACTTTAATTATCTTTGCGCACAAATCTTTGTCTGGATTTCTGCTCATTTTCTTAGGGCAGGTTCCCTACAACTGGAAATTCCCAGGTCCTGATAGCAACATTTTTATAGCTCTTGTTGTTTATTGCCAAATTGCTTTCTTGAATGCTTAAATCAGTTTATCCACCTAGAAGTATAGCACAATTCCTCTCTCACTGTAACCGGGGTATGATTTTTAACTTTTAAAAGAAATGACAGGTCAGTGAACATCTGCTGAGTGCCCACTGGAGAAGAGCTTCCTGCTACCATCAAATGTTACTTGCTTCACAATTTATTTTCGGTCTGCCGAGGTTTGTCAGGGCTTAAGAGCAATCTGAAAGGCAAGGCTGACCTCAGCAAGAACTCACGGAAACCCTGGTGACTGCTTTCTAAAAGGAATGGCGTCCGGAGGAGGCCTGAGCCTGGCACTTGAAAGCGAAGTGCAAGTCCACCGCCGAGCTGTTTCAAATGGTGTAGAATGAGAGTAATCAAGAACACAGGGGGAAAGCTGTGTGGGCTGACGGGGTGGGAGGGATTATCTAATAGTCTTGCTGGCCTCTCAGTTTGAGTATTCAGCCACTTCAGGCACGCTGTTCCAAGGCTTTTGCAGCTCATACATCAGTGCTATTTCTCCCAACAAATACATCAGTTATTTCATTTTTGAAGCTCATTTTTTTCATGAAGATTCATAACAGTCCTACATCCTGTGAGAACTATTTTGTTTTTCTTCTTATGTTAGATACTAGTGGCCCGGTGCATGGATTCCTGCACATTGAAAGGAAATCAATTAGAAAAAATATTTTAATATGGCTATTCGCCCTTTTTCTATAATAGAAGTGTCAACCAAATTGACACACATGCAATTGGCACCAGCAAGAGCTTTATATGTAGTGTGCATGCACAAGTCAACTTAGCCTTTTACAGATATAGAATAAACTTGCTTAATTAGACCTGCTTTCTGATTTAGCTAAACTTTTTCCAGCCCAGTGAAGCACCGCAACTCCAATTTCTCTTTCAGGTAATTGTCAGCAACACAACAGTAAATATCAACACAAAGCAGATTGTAGATCACGCAGGGAGACAAAGGGTAAAATATTTAACTGCAGCAGTGTTTGACTATATTCTGCCCAGTGAGAAAACCTGAAATCATTTTCAAGGTCCACCATTTCTTACTTCTTTTCAGTTGGGTGAAGTTTCTAAACTTTCTAAATCTGTTTTCCAGCTAATGAAAAGAAAATAGGATTCTACCGAGTCTCCTATCTGCCTACTCCAGGACTTCTGTGAGGATCAAATGAGATGAGGCACGGGAAAACACTTCACAATTTGGTTAAAATGTGAAATGTTTACACCTGGCTATAAAGCAAGTTGTCTTCCTGGGCTGAAGAAACTGCAAGGAGGCTAATCGCTAGGGAGAGGAAGCTGGGTGTTGCTACGTGATGTCATTACCCAGTGCCCACAGTGACCATTTCTGGGCTGGGCTATGGGTCGTATTTTGTGCCATGGGGTCTTGGCAGCATTGGCTGTGATTTGGTGGGGTGTTGCTCCAAGGTGGTGGCGGGGCCTGTGTCCCACTTGGAGGAAGCCGAGTATTGCTTTGTTGGCGCCAGGTCCATGGTGCTGTTTCTTTGTTTGTTTGTTTGTTTTTAATATATTTTTTATTGATTAAGATATTACATATGTGTCCTTGTCCCCACGTTACCCTCTACCCCCCCAACCCCCCCCGCTCATGCCCTCACCCCCCCCGTTGTCCATGTCCATTGATTAGGCCTATATGCTTGCATATAAGTCCTTTGGTTGATCTTTCCCCCTTACCCCCACCCTCCCCTACCTTCCCTCCAAGTCCTGACAGTCCAAGCAATGCCTCTCCGTCTCTGGATCAGTCCTTGTTCATCAGCTTATGTTGTTCATTATATTCCACAAATGAGTGAGATCATGTGGTATTTATCCGCTCTCCAGTTCCATCCATGCTGTGGCAAATGGTAAGAGTTCCTTTTTCTTCTTCCTCTTCTTAAAGAATACCTTTCAGCATTTCATATAATGCTGGTTTGGTGGTGATGAACTCCTTTAGCTTTTTCTTATCCGTGAAGCTCTTTATCTGACCTTCTATTCTGAATGATAGCTTTGCTGGATAAAGTAATCTTGGTTGCAGGTTCTTGCTATTCATCACTTTGAATATTTCTTGCCACTCTCTTCTGGCCTGCATGGTTTCTGTTGAGAAATCAGCTGATAGTCGTAAGGGTACTCCCTTGTAGGTAACTGACTGTCTTTCTCTTGCTGCTTTTAAGATTCTCTCTTTATCTTTTGCTCTTGGCATTTTAATTATGATGTGTCTTGGTGTGGTCCTCTTTGGATTCCTTTTGTTTGGGGTTCTCTGCGCTTCCTGGACTTGTAAGTCCATTTCTTTCACCAGGTAGGGGAAGTTTTCTGTCATTATTTCTTCAAAAAGGTTTTCAATATCTTGCCCTCTCTCTCCTTCTGGTACCCCTATAATTCTGATGTTGGTACGCTTGAAGTTGTCCCAGAGGTTCCTTACACTATCTTCATATTTTTGGAATCTCTTTTCTTTTTTCTTTTTCGGTTGGGTATTTTTTGTTTCTTTGTATTTCAAATCTTTGACTTGATTCTTGGGATCCTCTTGTCTGCTGCTGGATCTCTGTAAATTATTCTTTATTTCAGTCAGTGTATGCTTAATTTCTAGTTGGTCCTTTTTCATGTCCTCCATGGTCTCACTATACTTATTGAGGGATTCATTAAATTTATCGGCGGTTTCCATAAAATTCTTGAAAAACCTTATAAACGTGGCCTTGAACTCTATATCCAATCATTTGCTTTCCTCCATTTCTGCCATTTGTGACCTGTTTCTTTGTCTCCGCATTTTGGCAGCTTCCCTGTGTTGATAGAATGGCCCTGCGCGCCAGGTGTCCTGTAGGGCCCAGTAGCTCAGCCTCCCCAGTTACCTGGGGTGGACACTCTTGGTGCACTCTTGGTGCCTTGGTTGTTGTAGAATCACTGGGAGGAATTGACCTCCAGGCCAATTGGCTGTGAGAATCAGCTGTGTCTAAAGTGGGAGAACTTCTGTGCTGAAGACACCCTTCTAGGGCAAGACTTGCTTCAGTGGGGCTTTGGTGCTCACTGAGTCTGCTCCCTGAGTGTGTCCCTTATGGATCTGAGGAGTTGCAGTCTGGATGGTTCCCCTCTGACCACTGGGTACAGTGGCTCCTGGATCTAAGGAGGTGCTAATTCAGCCTCTGCCTGAGGCCACACAGCAGGAGCCATGAAGAGGCTCAGCTGTGAAGCAATGCAAGCCGCTGCGGGGCCTTGGGCCTTCTCTTGGAAGTTCCGGGTCTGCCTGGCTCGGCTGCAGTTAGGTACATTCACATGCAAAAGTCTCTGCCGCAGCCTGGGTGGGGCGGGGTCTCAGGGAATCAAAGGGCGGATCAAGGAGCTATGACTGATTCTCCGCCCGGAGTCGCGGGTCTCAGTGACCCGCTAATTGCTGCAAGCACCTCTGAGGGAAAGCCGCCTTCAAGTTCACCCGCTGCCGGACAGACCAGCTTCTCCCCGTATGAGTCCTGGGTCCCCAGAGACTTCCCGGAACCAGAGTTCAGAGCAGTCGGGGGCTTGTGATTCAAAAAGACAGCCGCGTCCTCAGGTGCCACCCCCTTTACTCGCGCGCGCGAGCCGGCCGTACCTCTGCACTTGTACCTTTGCACTTCACCTCTGCAGCTCCTCTGGCTCTCAGCATGCTTTTCTTTCCTTCTAGTTGTAGAATTTACACTCAGCCAGCCTTTCTGTTGTTCTGGATGATGTTTGCTCTGTCCTTTGTGGTAATTTTCAATTGTTGTGTGAGGCGACAATTTCCCGGTGTTTACCTATGCCGCCATCTTAGTTTCTCCTCGGTGCTGTTTCTTTGTAAATGGCCAGTGCATGTCACAGCAGCTCCTGCATTGAGCGTCTGCCCCCTGGTGGTCAGTGAGCATCATAGTGACTGGATGGTCAGAGGGACACTTAGCATATTAGCCATATATATATATATATATATATATAAATAAAGACTAGAGGCCCGGTGCACGAATTCATGCACCGGTGGGGTCCCTCAGCCTGGCCTGTGCACTCTCGAAATGCGGGACCCCTTGGGGGATGTCAGAGAGCCGGTTTCGGCCTGATCCCCACAGGCCAGGCCGAGGAACCCCACCAGTGCATGAATCCCTGCACTGGGTCTCTAGTATGCATATAAGATCTTTGGTTAATCTCTTCCCGCCCTCCCTCCTCTCCCCTTCCCTCTGAGATTCATCAGTCTGTTCCATGTTTCCATGCCTGTGGTTTCTACTCCTGCATTGAGCGTCTACCCCCTGGTGGTCAGTGCGTGCCATAGCTATTGACCAGTCGGCCAGTTGGCTGGTCAGCCGGTTGCTTAGGCATATATATGCATATGTATATGTATTTGTATATGTATATGTATATGTATACATATATTCTTTTTCTCTATCAGTGGCAGTGGGGCAGTGGTGACCTCCGGATGATCATCAGAAGATAAGACTTATGCAATTCACAATAGGGTGAGACACAATTAAACCTTAAGAATGTTCAGGTAACCTAAGAGATGCAAACTTACCAATATAATACCTATTAAAAGTGCAAAACATGTTGAAAATGATGATACTCTTCAATGCTGAGAAAAGTGTGGGAAACTGGCCTACTGCCAGTAATAGTATAAATAAGTCCAACCCATTTGGAAAGCAGTTTGGCAATATTTCAAGAGTCATAAAAAGGCCTATACCATTTGACTCAGTAATTACACTCCTAAGAATATAATTCAAAAGAATAAAAAAGTTCTATGCTTAAGGATGCTCAGTGCACTACTGGTGAAAAAAATCTGAAATAGCTGTAATGCTTACCAGTATAAGGAGGGGAGATCATTGCATAAATTATGGTATAGGACAGTGATGGCAAACCTATGATACGCGTGTCAGAGGTGACACACGAACTTTTTTTTTTTTTTTTTGGTTGATTTTTCTTTGTTAAATGGCATTTAAATGTATAAAATAAATATCAAAAATATAAATCTTTGTTTTACTATGGTTGCAAATATCAAAAAATTCCTATAATGTGACACGGCGCCAGAGTTGTTAGGGTTTTTCAAAATGCTGACACGCCGAGTTCAAAAGGTTCGCCATCACTGGTATAGGAACTCAATGGAGTAAGATACAGATCTTAGGACTCCAATTAATGTGATAATTGCAACCAGAATAACAAATTAAGGCCCTGGCTGGGTAGCTCATTTGGTTAGAGTGTCGTCCTGATACGCCAAGGTTGCCAGTTTGATCCCCAGTCAGGACACATACAAAATCAACTAATGAATGCATAATAAGTTAAACACAAAAAAGAATAACAAATTAGATGTACTTTACAGCTGCAATTAAATATGTTAAAGGACCAAACCAGGAAGAAATACATGGAAAAGTGAAAGAGTTAATTTGTTAAGATGGTGGAATAGTGGGTGATTTCTCTGTTGTGTTTTGCAAGTTTAATGTTTGTGCATTTTAAAAGACTTTGGAGTACTTCCAAAATGACTGCTTAATACACTGCTCATCACAGCTGGCTTACATTTTCCATGCTTCCTGCACTGTGTGCCTCCTCTCAATTATCTCCCTCCGCAGCTTTACCATCTCCCTCTGAATTGCCTCTTCTTCTTTCTTGGCCTCCAGAGCCTTCCTTCTCTTCTCTTCTTGCACCAGATACTGAGCCTCTAAGAAGGCAGATTTTTTCAGGGTCTTTTCAATTCTCTGGCGCTCCAGTTCTTTCTCCCGTCTTAAGCGATTTTCTTTTACCTTAAGGAGAGAATACAAGGGGAAAATGCAGCCTTTCAAGTAGAAAGGGATTTACAAAACTGTGGAACACATTTTAAGTTCAGAATAGACCCATTCTGCTCCAGAACCCCACCATTTATCAGAATAATGGAGAGAATTCATTTGTTTACTGGGTAAGGACCAATACGAAATTTTAAGTGAAGTTAGTTAAGATGACTCTCAACAATTAGGGAATAATCTGTACCATGAAAAAATTGAAAATCTAATGGGTCAGCTGCCAAGTTCTGAACTCTTATTTAGTAATGATTTCTCATCAATAAGATTTTACAAATTGCTCTATTTATTTAGGCCATGCCTGCATACTACTTATAATTTTGAAAAGATTACTATTTCGGTGAGGCTACATTGTTAAGGATAGAACAATGACTTACAGATGGCCCCTGATTTTTAATGGTTCTACCTACAATTTTTTGACTTTAGAATGGTGCAAAAGCAATACATGTTCAGTAAACCATACTTCAAATTCTGAATGCTGATCTTTTTCTAGGTTAGCGATATGTGGCATGACACTTTCTCGTGATGCTGACAGCTGCAGTGAGATGATTTTGCCCACCTGTAGGCTAATGCAAGTGTCCTGAGCATGTTTAAGGTAGGTAGGTGGTACGTTAGATGTATTAAATGCATTTCTGACTCATAATATTCTCAACTTATGCTATATTTATTGAGCTGTAACCCCATTATAAGTCAAGGAGCATCTATATTGCCTTAAGGAACACCACAATATTTTATTCATTTCCATGATGATTTAAATATTGTATATTGATGATTCTGGATCATACTTGAAAACCAAAACCATGAACTTCACAGGTATTTCTGAATAAGCACAATAATTTTTAAAACCTATTAATTCTTTAGAGGCTTGACTAGCTATGAATTAAGGAGTGTTCCTTTCCCTCCTGCTTCATTTAACTTTACCTGTATCTTACCATCCAGTTATGACTTCTAGATAATGGCTATCTCTTATTGAAACTTCTTTTCTCCTCTCTATCATAAATCTAAACCAGGATATACTTCTACCCAGTTTTCCTAACATCCCCAGTGCCGATTAGGCACACTTTATGGTTTAAAGCAATCAGAGATTCAGTGTTATAAAAAGGTGGCACACGTGTATAAACATTAATTCAGTTCAGTCTTAGTTCTGGACTTGTGGCAAAGGCTGGGCCATTCTGATTTCCTGAAGCTCCTCTACAAAGTGTCAGATGCATCTTTTTCCTGTAACCTACTATTCCCTTTGGAGAAAAGAAAGTTTCCATATGCCTTTCTAATTCAAAACAGCTGAACTAGATTTAATTCAGATCTGTCCTCCCTTTCAAATTATCACAAAATGAGTGAATTTTTCAGTTGTCTAGAAAAGAATTACCATTCTAACATTCAACAGAATATTCATGATATTAATATATTGATGTCTCAATTCAAAAACCAAATTCAAGCAAAACCCAATCTACCTATTTGTAATAGGAAGAACCACATCCAAATTAATAAAGTTTAACCCAACACTGTTGGTCAAATTCAATTATTCCTTTTTTGGGGTTTTCTTAAATAGTTTTCTATCCTCAGTTTATGAGCATTATTTTTCTTCTGAAGTTCTTATATTTTACTTTTATTCTTTCTAACCAAACGACAGATGGCACCCTTTTTCATAATAAGGCTTCAGTCTTTATTTAAGCTTATTAAATGTATTATACAAAGATTGCTTCCTGTTATCCATTTTAATTTTGTTTTTCCCTCCCACCTGCTTATGTCTTATCTCCATGGTAAGACGAGGGTCCTTCTGCTGCTTCTTGCCATGGTTTCCACTCATTTCGATATCTTCCAACATCCCAGAATCCACCACATTTTTATGGAGCAGATGGTCTATAAATTTTTGAACAGTGCTACTTTCCTCTTCTTCCTCCAAGTAGCCACATAAATCTGGAAGGAACAAAACAATGACAAAAAAGGAAAATTTAAAAAATTTAATATAATTTCCATATTTATATAAATAATCCTGGTACAATAAAAATACAATATTGTGAGTGTTTAATAAATAGTAACTGATAATGCCAATTGCATGAGTATAGGCCTCAGTAATTAACTACAACTAAGAGGGGAAATAAAACCCTCTACTCATGAATTGCTCTCACCCAAGTCACTAAAGACTCCCCCACTGTCAGATTTAAAATATGTTACTTTAATCTAAACATCCTTGAGGCCTCTACTGCTTTTTAAAAAAATGGCTTAACAATTTACAAAAAATTGTAAATATTTATTTATTTATTTATTTATTTGTTTATTTATTTATTTATTTTTAAGCCAGACTTCCATTTCAAGGGAAACTTTTTAATTTTTTATTTTTAAAATATATTTTTATTTATTTCAGAGAGGAAGTGAGAGGGGGTGAGAAATGGAAACATCAATGATGAGAATCATTGATTGGCTGCCTCCTGCATCCCCCGCTACTGGGGATCGAGCCAGCAACCTGGGCATGTGCCCTTGACTGGACTCTAACCCAGAACCCTTCAGTCTGAAGGCCGATGCTCTATCCACTGCGCTAAACTGGCTAGGGCTAAACCATAAATATTTAAAGTTTACAATATTTTTTGACATACATATACCAGTAAACCATCACTACAGTCAAGATAATGAGCATGTCTGTCAGCCTCCAGAAGGCCCGCATGCTTATTTGTAATGTCTCTTTCCCACTCTTCCCCATGTTCTCTGCCTTATCCCAAGCACCCACAGACCTACTTTCTGTCATTATAGACTAGAGCCCGATGCATGAAATTCGTGCAAGAGTAGGCCTTCCTTCCCCCGGCTGCCAGCACCAGCTTCTCTCTGGCACCCGGGACCCAGGCTTCCCTCTGGCTGCTGGCAGGCACCCAGGTCCCAGGCTTCCCTCCAGCCTCTGGCAGGCACCCAGGACCTGGGCTTCCTTTGCAGCCCTGGCTTTGTCCACAAGGTCGTCTGGAAGGACATCTGGTCTAATTAGCACATTACGCTTTTATTATTATAGATTAGGTTATATTTTCTAGAATTTTGTAACAATTACATCATATGCTATGTACTCTTTTTTTTCTTCTTGGTCAGGCTTCTTTTATTCAGCATAATTATTTTGAGACTCATTCATGTTGTATCAATAGTTTATCATTTTTTACTGCTGAGTAGTATTCCATTGTATGGGTATATCACAATCTATTCACTCATTCACCTGTGGATAAACATTTGGGTTATTTTCAGATTTGGGCTATTACAAACAAAGTTGTTATGAACATTTGTATATAAGTCTTTGTATAAACATATGCTTTCTCTTCTCTTGGGAAGAGAAACTTTTCAAGAAACTGCCAAACTGTTTTTTTCCCAAAGTGGCTATATGATTTTACCTTCTCATGAGCAGTATGGAAGTATTCTAGTTCCTCTACATCCTGACCAATATTTAATTTAAACCATTTTTAAAAGGTGTGTAAGTGGTTACTCATGGTAGTTTTAACTTTCATTTTCCTAATGACTCACAATATTGAACATCTTTCCTGTTGATGCTCTGTTTAGTATACCATGTAGTTCCACACATTATTAAAAATGGGGTCTTAAAGCCTCCAGTTGTCATTACTGAATGATCTATCTCTCTCTTCAATTCTGTCAGTTTTTGCTTCACATATTTTGGGTCACTTTTTATTGATTAAGGTATTACATATGTGTCTTAACCCCCCATTGCCTCCCCACCCTACTCCCGTTCATGCTGGGGAATTTTTGTTAAGTATATATATGTTAATACTTACATTTTCTTGATGGATTGACCCTTTGGTCATTATAAAATGCTCTTCTCTGTCTCTATAGCATTTCTTTTATCTTGGTTTATTTTTTTCTGATATTAGTAAGCTGCTCTTGTTTTCTTTTGGTTACTGTTTGCATAGTATTTCTTTTTCCATCCTTTTACTTTCGACCTATTTATATATTTGAAACTAAATTGTGTCTCTTATAGACAGGATATAGTTATGTCATATTTTTAATTCATTCTGCCAATCTCTATCTTTTTTAAAAAAAAAAATCCTCACCTGAGGATAAATGTCTACTGGTTTTAGACAGAGAGAGATAGACAGAGAGAGAAACACTGATGTGAAAAACATCGATCAAAGAGGGAACACAATATTATTTTCTGTGGCACTAATGGGTAAAAGTTACTGAGGACAAAATTCTAATTCTTCTAACTAAGAGAGAATGCTGTGAAGATCGGAGCCTCACAACAGCTGAATGGGCTCCTCCCAAGTGCAGCCTCTCCACCCTGGGAGGTGTTCAGCAGAGATGACAGCACCCCACCGTAGGTATACTGGAGAAGGATCTCTGTCTGCGGGGTGAAGAGAACAGTTCAGACTAGGTAACCTTGAAGGATTCCTCTAACTGTAAGAACTCATGACTTTGTGATTCCTGAGTTGGGGATTTATAGCGTCCTAACAAGGGGAATGCTGCCAGGTGAGTTCACCAAGGCATGAGTAATGCACGAGGAGCTGCCACTACTGTCACTATGCCTACCATTATGCTCAGGGGAAAAATCTCAGGTTCTTTGGCTACATTTGAAGAATCATCACAAGTTAGCTATTTAACTAGCTCTGTGTACAAGTAATTATTTTCCCTATAAAGATATAAGAAGCATTTTGTAAATATAAAATGATATACGGATGTCTAAATGTAGTCTCTAAAGTAAATAGCCATCCAACAATATATAGGAAGAGGCACTCTTAAACAGCATTATTTACTATTATAATCATCCTATGTAATAAAAACATAATATGCAAATCAACTGAACGGCCGAACAGCGGAACGACCATCCAGATGACCATCTGGGACCACACTATGATACCCACTGGTGCCAGGCCAGCCAAGGCGGGTGCAATGCGATTGGTCGGGGGCCCAGCCATCGCCCCATGATTGCCCCGCAGAGGGAGGCCCAGGCCATTGGCTGGCAGGGCAATTAATCGGGGGCTCCATGGTTGCCCCGCAGAGGGAGGCCCAGGCCACCAACCAGCAGGCTGCAGTGGTGGGCAGGGTCTCCCTCTGCGAGGGAAGCCTGGGTCCTGGGTGCAGGTGGCTGGAGGGAAGCCTGGGTCCTGGGTGCTGCAGGGAAGCTGATGCTGGCAGCCGGGGGAAGGAAGGCCTACTCTTGCATGAATTTCATGCATCGAGCCTCTAGTAAGAATTATAAATAATAGAATATTTTAATTTAAAAAGACATCATGAATTACTAAGAACATAGATAAGTAATTTAAATTGAATCAAGAAAAATTAAAGCCAATTATAAAACTAAACAACACACAGGAAAGTCAAATAACATTTATTATTCAAAACAAATGAAAAGACTTCTTAGACACATTAATTGGATGTTAGAGCTTTGACCGATTAGATCAGTTCTTACCATCAAACCTGTCATATTTCAAATGACCACTGGCTTCTAACACAGGAGGGACACTGGATACAGTGTCTTCAGCTTCCCCATCACTTGCTAGTTCTTGCTTGAGTTTGGTGTCTAACCAGTCATTGACCAGCTCCTGAGCTATCAATAAAACAAGAACATCTTTTAATATTTCAGCTACTTCAGAGACCTTTCTTCATTCAGTTTTCATTCATTCAGTAAATATTAATTGAGCACTGATCATGTGTCACGTGTTATGCTAGAACGAAACAGGAAAAATAAAACCTACCAGACCATGAAGCTTACATTCTAACTGGGGAAGAGAGACTATAAACAAGTAAGTCAGAAAAACAGAGTTGGGGAAAGAGAAAAGGTGTATAAGAAATGGAAGATAGATGTTGATATTTTTAAATTGGGTGGTGAAAGGAGGCCTCACTGAGAAGATATTTGAACAAAGAAGGAAAGCAAGTGAGGAAGTGAGCCACATGGCTATGAAAGGAAATATTATTCTACATAGAGGGAAAGCAAATGCAAAGGCCCTAGGACAGGAGAGTGTCTAGTGTGTTGGAGAAATAGTAAGTAAGCAGTGGCTGGAGAGAAGTGAGTGAAGGAGGTTGGAGGAAACTGTAATGTGGGGATCAAGTTTAGAGCAGTGGTTCTAGATTAGGGTGAAATCGTGCTCCAGTGGACATCTGGCAACGTCTGAAGTCATTTTTGGTTGTCACTACTGGGGGAGGTGACATTGGCATTTAGCAGGTAGGGACTAAGGATGCTGCTAAACATCCTACAATGGACACAGCAGCACCCACAAAAATTATCACAGTGCTGGGTTGAAAACCCCTTCTTTAGAATCTTGACACCATTCTAGGTATTTTGGCTTTTACTCTGAATGCAATGGGAAGCCACAGGAGGGTTGTGAGCAGAGATCACTCGACTATGATGTTAAAATAGCCTATAAGGGGACATACACGGGAGCAGGGCACACCATCTGGGAGACAAATGCAACGATCTAGGAGAAGGGTGATGGTGGCCTAGGAGTGGAGGTATTAAAAATGGCCATTATAAAAAATAATGTTTTGAGGTGAAGTTGACTTGATTGCTGATGGACTGGATGTGAGATGTGAGAGAAAGAAATCTATGGGTTTTTGGCCTAAGCAATTCCAAGGATGGAGATACCACTTACTGAGCCAGGGAAGGCCCAGGGAGCAGCAGGTCTGGGGGAAGATAAGTTCAGTTTTAGACTTCAGTTCAGTTTTGAGTTGGTTATGAGACATCCAAATAGGGATGTCAAATAGGTATTGGCTACACGAATCTGTATTTCAGGGAAGAGGTCTAAGCTGAAGAAATAAATATGGTTGTTAGCATACAATGGTACTTAAAGCTGTAGAAGTGGATGAGGTTGCCAAAGGAGGAAGGACTCACCCTGAGAAACTCCAGTATTTAGAGGCTGAAGAGAGAAGGCAGAACCAGGAAACTAGGAAGGAGCGGTCATTGACACAGGAGAAAGACTATAAAAACTGAATGGGATATCCTGGGAGTCAACTTCATTTGGATTCCTTTCTTAGTGGTAGCCAGAAAATCTTCTTAAATATATAGGTGAGAAAATGTCTACTTTAGCATTACCTTAATCATTATTATCATTATCAAACAGTTTTTATGGGTAGGGCAAGGAGATTTCAAAGAAAAATGTCTACTTCAGCATTACCTTCATCATTATTAGCATTATCACACAGCTCTGAGGAAATGGAGTGTTTCTATATATTGAATGATGCTAAAAGATACTTAATATAGATAGGAATGTATGATATATAAAACAGGAAAAAATGAATCAAGGTAGTAGAAACTAAGTGTAAAAAGTATACCAGCACCCTGGCTGGTATTGCTAAGTGATTAGTATGTCAGCTCATGCACTGAAGGGTTGCAGGTTCAATTCCTGATCAAAGGCACATACTTAGGTTGCAGGTTCTATCCCCGGCCATGGTCAGGTGCGTGTGGGAGGCAACCAATCCATGTGTCTCTCTCATATCAATGTTTCTCTCTCCCTCTCCCTCCCTCCCTTCCACTCTCTCTAAAAATCAATGGAAAAACATATCCTCGTGTGAGGATTAACAACAACAACAAAAAGTATAATAGAAGCAAACATCGGCTTTCAGAGGAAGTCAGGGAAAGGTAGCAGATATTTGTTGAGTAACCTGTGTCTGATAATTCAGATATTTATATGTATAATAACTTACATACAGAATAATTCAGATCTACTAAACACCATTCATTGATAAAGAGGGGTTCACAGTATCCCCCCCCCCCCTTATCCATGGGAGAAATGTTCTAAGACACCCAGTGGATGCCTGAAACAGTGGATGGTACCAAATCCTATGTGTAATGTTTATCCTATACATACATACCTATCATAAAGTTTACTTTATAAATTAGGCACAATACGAGATTAACAATAACTAATAACAGAACAGTTATAACAATGTACTGTGATAAAAGTTATGTGTTCTCTTTCTCTCTCTCTCTCTCTCTCTCTCTCTCTCTCTCTCTCTCTCTCTCAAAATATCTTATTGTTCTACACTTACGTTTTGATTTAAAAGAAACACTTATGGCTTCTTTGGCATATCTGAATTGCCAGCATCACTACTCTTGCACTTTGGGGCCATTATTAAGTAAAATAAAGGTTACTTGAACATAAGCACGGTGATACCGTGATAATCTATCTGATAACCAAGAGACCTACTAAGTGACTAATGGGTGGATAACGAATATGTATATTAGCTTCTGGGCAGTAAAATAAGCAAAAATTAAAGACAAGAGAAAGGAAAGCTTTCTTCCTGAACTCTGAAATTCATTATAGGTTATGCTTTAATAAGTTGTACTCTAAAGAGTTGTTAATTTCACAGCAAAAAATTGAATTATCTTACCTTCTGCATAGATTTCATCATGATCCTCTATTTGCTCAGATGTTTCCAAATCTATCATTTGGCCCCAAAGACTTCTGGATAAATCTGAATTTCCAGCTGAAAATGATTTTGAAACTCCAAATTCTGAGGCTTTCTCCACTCTCTTTAATGTAACAGAAAAAGAAATTCAATAGGATGACGACTTTGTTCAGAGTTAGAAAATTTCTCTCTAGTCCTCAAGAATCTGTTTTTGTTTTTTTAACCAGCTACTAAAATAATTTCATTTTTCCATTTTTGAATGAACTGTGAGGCTTAAACATCCACCTAAAATACTTTCATTCAATAAACATGAAATTATAGTATTTTACCAAGTTTTATTTTTTTATTTTTTAAAAATATATTTTATTGATTTTTTACAGAGAGGAAGGGAGAGAGATAGAGAGTTAGAAACATCGATGAGAGAGAAACATCGATCAGCTGCCTCCGGCACATTTCCTACTGGGGATGTGCCCGCAACCCAGGTACATGCCCTTGACCGGAATCGAACCTGGGACCTTTCAGTCCACAGGCCGACGCTCTATCCACTGAGCCAAACCGGTTTTGGCATATTTCACCAAGTTTTAACAGGTGTTCACAATGTATACATTTGAACAAAATGTTATGTAAACTTTAGGTAACTTTTGTTTGCAGCGGTTCTCAACCTGTGGGTCGCGACCCCTTTGGGGGTCGAATGACCCTTTCAGGGGTGAGACGACCCTTTCACAGGGCTCGCCTAAGACCATTGGAAAACACATATATAATTACATATTGTTTTTGTGATTAATCACTATGCTTTAATTATGTTCAATTTGTAACAACGAAATTGGGGTCACCACAACATGAGGAACTGTATTAAAGGGTTGCGGCATTAGGAAGGTTGAGAACCACTGGTTTAGAGCATTAGTTATGGGCCGCTGACACTTGAATATTTTTAAAATAAAAATATAATATTTTATTAGTTTCCATGCTATTAAGATTTGCATATGAATGTGAGTTAGAGGCAGAGCAGCTATACTTCCTCAAATTACTACTCTGTAAGGAACCTGCCACCGCAGAGGCAAATTATAGATTCAACAAAATTGGGATACATGGTCACTGAATTTTAGTCTTCAGGATATTTTAACTCAACAGTAAGAATCTAGTAAAAAGTTGGCCAAATTCAGGGGTTTGGGGAGGAATTGGCAGAGGTGGACAAACTTTCTTGGCACTTTGGCTTACCTGCACATTATAAATGAACTAACTTTACAATTAAACCCCTGCTTTCCCCCTCCCTACAAACCAGCTTTTCTCCATGCCTGTTGTGTTCCCAGTCTTGTAACTTAGGTAGTGACAACTCCTTTCTTTCAGTTCCTAAAAAAGCTTTTGAATCTCCTCTCCTCTCTCTCTCTCTCTCTCTCTCTCTCTCTCTCTCTCTCTCTCTCTCTCCCCCTCCAGATACAATATATCAGGAAATCTATTTTCAAAATGTATCCAGGATATGACCCCTTCATGTCATCTCTACTGCTATTATCCTGAAAGGCACCACAATTTCCTGACAAGTTTTCTATTATAGTCTCCCACCAGAGAGATCCCTTCAAAATGAAAGGTGTAACATGTTAGAACTCCACTCAAAAACATTAGTTTGAGTACAGTTCATGTTAGAACTCCATGGGTCCCTATTTCATGCAACTCAGAATAAAAGTCTAAGTCCTTATAATGTGTGTTATGGTCCTGCACCGCCAGGCCCTTTGTGAGTTCTCCAACCCCTCCTCTGCTACTTTTCCCATTGCTCCCTCTACTTCAGCCACACTGACCTCCTTGTTCATTCCTCCTCAAATATGCAAGCATGTTCCCAGCTCAGGACCTTTACACTGAGCTTCCCCACTCTGCTGACTGCTCTCCCCCCGATATTCATATGACTGGGCACAAGCACTAGAAGATACTAAGGATTAGAAATAATGTCTATATTTCCTTGTTTTAAAATATTATATCCTTACCATGTATTTTCAAAAGAAACATATAAGAGACAGGAGAGGTCCATCTTAAATTATATTTCAATGAAATAAACATTGTGTCGATTGAACAACTTATTCTTTAAACTAGTTTATTGAATGGTAGCTCTGTTACCAGCTTTATAGTGAACATGAAGGGAAAAACAAAACTAAAATCTTCTGTTCTGAAAGAGTTCACTGTTTCTTGGTTTGTTTCATATAACATGTATGCAATAACTCAAAAACAATTCTAAAGCAATACAGGGTGATTAAACAAAACCGTAAATACCTTCCAAAGTTTATTACTTAGTAGCTATGTTACAGATAAGCATATAGTTTATAAAGGAAGTATCTCAGTTATTTCCATGAACTTAAACATTTTCAATACAGACATACTTTGGAGATATTGTGAATTTGATTCCAAACCACTAGTAATAAAGTGAGTATTGCAATAAAGTCCCACAAATTGTGGGGTTTCCCAGTGCATATAAAAGTTATGTTTAGACCAGCCAGCGTGGCTCTGTGGTTGAGCATCCACCTATGAACCAGAAGGTGACAGTTCAATTGCCTGTCACAGCACTTGCACAGGTTGGGGCCTCAATCCCCAGTAGGGGGTGTGCAGGAAGCATCCAATCAATGATTCTCATCATTGATGTTTCTATCTCTCTCTGCCTCTCCCTTCCTCTCTGAAATAAAAACATATTTTTTAAAATTTGTATTTATACTATACTGTAGTCTATTAAGTATGCAATAGTATTATGTCTAAAAAATACATTATTGCTAAAAAATGCTAACCATCACCTGAGCCTTCATCAAGTCATAATCCTTTTGCTGGTAAAGGGTCTTGCCTCAATGTTGATGAAATCATACTAATTGTGAAGTGCAATAAAGAAGAGCACACGAAAGAGAAGCATGCCTGTATGTGCTCCTGATATGCCATGGCACATTAATTCTATTGTCCATGCTAGACAGACTCTTAGTAGAAAATCACCATCGATAGCAGAAACAGCAGCTACAAGGCACTCCTACATTTCCTCAAGGCTGAGAAGTACAAACATGAGTTTCTTGAATGTGCAAACTTCATGTTCATATGTAATAGTTTTGGGAGTAATATATTTTCAAAAGTACTCACTTCTTTTTTAATCACTCTGTATACAAGCAAATGTGTGTGTGAGTGTCAAAATAATTCCGATGAAGAGTATGAGAAGAGGAAATTAGGTGGTTGAGGTGAGGGGGGAGTTGTTTACTGAGAGGGGCGTCTCAAGCTGAGCTTTAAGGGAAGGATCTGAATTAGCCTCTCAAAGAGGAAGGGTATCCCAGGATGGGGATCAACATGAATCAAAGCAAAGAAAGTCTTATCTGATGGAGGGAAAGGAAATTAGCCTTACAGGGAGTCACACAGAGTATCAGTAAACGGGTTGTTAGAGGTAGACTGATAGAGGGCATTAAATGCCAGTCTTGATTTAGACTTTCATCTGATGGCATGTAGAATCATGAAGGCTCAAGATTGAAGAACTGACACGATGAAAATGTTTGAAAAGCTCAAAGTAGCAGAATGTACTGGAGTAAGAAGATGAGTTAGTCTAACAAATTAGGATGAAGATGAATTGTAAATTGTAGTAGACAGTTGCATTTTGGGTGAGCTATCCCAAGACTTAATAGTTCTACCACATCTGTCTGATTCTAAGTGACTTCAACATCCCCGAGGAAGACCCACACACATTTCCCAGCCTCAAGGTTTGCCTTGATCTCCTGTATTCCAACAGCTTTCCCTTTCATTGGACTTCAGCAACCCAATGACTGGTCATCCTGAACCATGTCATACAGAATTTTCCATTGGTCAAACCAAATGATGATAACCTCCTCTCCAACATCCACCTCCTATCCATGTCTCTCTTTCACTCCCCTACTCCATAACATTGGTGTTGCATCTAACCAAGTCCTCCAGTCACCATATGCCTCCTCTTTCCCTCAACCCAGGAGTCTTTTAAAAGGTTCCCTTCTTTTCCTACTCTGTGTGAATATTCAGCTACTATCCTATATAATAAATTCCTAATACAGTGGGGCCTTGACTTACGAGTTTAATTCATTCTGTGACAGAGCTCGTAACTCAAATTACTCATATGTCAAATCTAAAAGTGAACGAGTGAGACACATGATGCTGGGCTGATGTTGTGGCGTTCACTGTGACATTTGCTGCGCCAACTAGCGGTAGGGTATCTGAAGCTGGCCCGTAACCCGAGTTTTAGCTCGCAACTCAAAGCAAAAAATCGGCCGAGAGACGGCTCGTATCTCGAAAAACTCATTAGTCGGGACACTCGTAAGTCAAGTCCCCACTGTATGTAAATCTACCAAATGGCAGAACAACCGGTGACCATGACACACACTGACCACCAGGGGGCAGAGATGCTCAATGCAGGAGCTGCCCCCTGTTGGTCAGTGCACTCCCACAGGGGGAGTGCCACTCAGTCAGAAGCCAGGCTCATGGCTGGTGAGTGCATTGGTGGTGGTGGGAGTCTCTCCTGCCTCCGCAGCAGCATGAGGACCCCTTGGGGGATGTCTGCCTGCTGGCTTAGGCCCACGGAGAGAGGGCACAGGCTGGGTTGATGGAGCCCCCACCCCCAGTGCACAGATGTCATGCACCGGGCCTCTAGTCTATATATATATATATATATATATATATATATATGCACACACACACACATATATATATATATATATATGTATATATATATATATATATCTCCTATCTAATAAAAGACAAAAAGGGTAATTAACCATACCTCCGCTACGCTTCCCATTGGCTAATCAGGGCGATATGCAAATTAACTGCCAACCAAGATGGCGGCCGGCAGCCACGCAGCTGAAGCGAGCAGGAGGCTTGCTTGCTCCAGTGATGGAGGAAGCCAAGGTTCCCCGCCTGCCGCGGCCCGGCTCTGAGCTCCAAAAGCAACAGAGTTTCAATTATAGAAGCTAAACAAACCCCAGATACCTGTTTTCAGCCAGCTGTGGCCTCAGAGCTGGAGCCGGCTCTCAGCTCCAGTGACAGCAACAATGTTTCAATTATAGAAGGTAAATAAATCCCAGAATAAAAAAAAGAAAAAAAGGAGAGGCTGGGAGCCTCAGTTGCTGGCCAACCTGAAAACGGCCCTCAGCTCCTCACCCAGACTGGCCAGGCACCCCAGTGGGGACCCCCACCCTGAAGGGGGTGTGGCCAGCCTGAAAACACCCATCAGCCCCTCACCCAGGCTGGCCAGGCACCCCAAACAGGACCTCCACCCTGATCCGGGACACCCTTCAAGGCAAACCAGCCGGCCCCCACCCGTGAACCAGGCCTCTATCCTATATAGTAAAAGGGTAATATGCAAACTGACCCTAACAGCAGAATGACTGGGAATGACTGGTCACTATGACACACACTGACCACCAGGGGGCAGACGCTCAATGCAGGAGCTGCCCTCTGGTGGTCAGTGCATTCCCACATGGGGGAGCTCTGCTCAGCCACAAGCCAGGCTGATGGCTTCCAGTACAGTGGTGGTGGTGGGAGCCTCTCCTGCCTCCTCAGCAGCGCTAAGGATGTCCGACTACAGTTTAGGCCTGCTCCCCGCTGGCAAGTGGATATCCCCCGAGGGCTGCTGGGCTGCCAGAGGGATGTCTGATTGCCATCTTAGGCCCAATCCCCCCAGGGAGCAGGCCTAAGCCAGCAGGTGGTCATCCCCCGAGGGGTCCCAGACTGCGAGAGGGCACAGGCCAGGCTGAAGGCCCCCCCCCCCCCCGAGTGCACAAATTTTTGTGCACTGGGCCTCTAGTATGTGTGTGTGTATATATACACACACATATATACATATTATACATATACATATACATACAAGGCTAATATGCTAAGTGTCCGACCATTCAACCATTCAACCTGTAGCTATGATGTGCACTGACCACCAGGGGCAGACACTCAACATACAGGCATGGAAACATGGAACAGACTGATGAATCTCAGAGGGAAGGGGGGAGGGGAAAGAGTGGGAAGAGATTAACCCAAGATTTTATATGCATACTAGAGGCCCGGTGCATGGATTCCTGCACTGGTGGGGTCCCTCGGCCTGGCCTGCACCCTCTCACAATCTGGGACCCCTCAGGGGATGTCGGACTGCTGGTTTCAGCCTGATCCCTGCAGGCCAGGCTGAGGGACCCCACCGGTGCACAAATCCGTGCACTGGACCTCTATTCTAACATAAGCCTCACATCTCTTGTTCCTTTGCCTTTCCACTGAGAACTTTCAGGACTGGATCAATCTGATCTATCAATTTTTGGTACCACAAAAAAAAAAACAGGATTACCTGCTTCAGTCCAGTCCCCAGTGCTGTAGTTACACTGACCTTCCTTTTCTCTTTTGAAGAAAGCCCTGCCTAAATCTTCACCATACTCCACATCCTTTGCATATACTCCCTCCTTTTCCACATAACAAGGTCTTAGCTGTTTTTGAGCGTGTGGTCCACTCAAGTGGATTTGGAATTCTTAGGTCCAGAGGTTATAACTGTTTAGGATATACCTACAGTTGTGATATACTAGGGAGCAAAATCAGAAAAGAAGATAAACAAGTTAACAGAGAGGTAGGAGAAGCAAGAGAAAACAGTGTTTAAAAAAGATAATAGAGGAGAAGATTTCTAGAATAATAAAGTGATAACTGGAGAAATGAACATTAAAAAGTTTGAGGACAAAGAAGAGACCATTAGTAAGTCATTTATGACAATTTCTGAGGAGTGGTAAGAAATAGAAACTGGAGTAAAATAATTGTGGACACTAGAGGATAATAAAAATACAATGGTAAGAAGTCATGGCTACATATCCAAACAGGTTAGATTAAGAAACAAAACAAAACAAAACAAAAACAAGAAAGAAACTGTATGGCAATCAGAATGATGGAGGGGTCAAATGAGGACTCACTGTTGTTGTTTTTTTTTTTCGATAGATTTGAGGACATAATGGAAAAAGAGCTATTGCAGAAGTTTTAGAGGAATAATAAAACCTAACCAAATGAGGACTTACTGATTTTTTTTCAAGATGGGCTATTTGAGGACATAATGGAAAAAGAGCTACTGCAGAAATTTTAGAGGAATGATAAATATCTAACCGAGTCAAGCTGGCTAACAACTACATGAAAGAGGAAAATGGCTCACCGATATTAGCAACCCCTCACCACGTGCTTCCATTACACCAGTAATTCTCCCAACAGCTTTGTTTATCCCTCACTATATAGTGCACTTGCCCTGCGCACTGTTATTTCTAGTGCCCCAAACAGAGGGCTAGCACTTAGTAGGCACTTAATAAATACTGGGTGGATGAATAAATGGTAAACAATGATATCTGGCCTAGGTTCCATTTGGCCTGATGCTCATAATGTCTATCAATTCAGATAAGTAATAACTCTTCAAAATAGTACCAGGTAGAAGAATATTTTCCCAGGAAAAGCCGCATGATTTTAAACCATGTGGTGCACAAATGAACTGAGTATGGCAAGTTGCCAAATTGATACTCAGAGGCATGCACTTCAAGTGGTTTAATGGTATTTTCAACTTAATTGGTAGTTGGACTAAAAAATATATACATTTCAGGTCTCAGACGTTACCTAATCCAATCCCCCCACCCCCTCACTGAATCAAACATAGTTTTCATTAGTCCTAATATTAAGTGACCATTTAGAATCCACTTGAAAACTCTTGTGATAGAAAACACTTATAAAAATGCCCACTCCATTTTTGGATTGCTCTAGTCAGTAGAAGATTCTTAATTGTGATGCACACATAGCTTTTACCTAGTGCATGGGTCCTGTAGGTTAATGTAACTACAGTAGTCTTTCCAATCACCTGAGGAAGGCCTGTCCTAAGGCTTCTCCTCTCCTCTCCTCGCCTCAAGAGCTAAGGCAACATATATAGTCACATGGGAGCAAAAACAACATATGTGCAAAATGGAGACCTATTTGTATTTCTTTTCCATCTGATTATGTCTGACTCTCAATTTTCTTTCTATCTTAATTTGTGCAATATCCTTACCTCAATCCAGTGTCCCACATTGCCAGGGTCAAAAGCAGGCTGTGGAGAATATATACAGAATATTAATACATAGCAATATCATTACCAACTTTGCCATTTTAATCTATCCTTCTGACTAAAGTACATGGAAGTGTCCTTTATTCTTTCCCCAAATTGTTTCATTAGAAACTTCAGCAACAAAAGCACTCAGAAGAATGATAGGAAGAAGAAACACGGAGCCTTCTCTGGGACATCTTCTGAATGTTTTTATCTCCTGCCGAGGCCCACCAGATTCTGATTCACTTGGTTCGGGGCAGGGCCCAGGAATGAGCATTTTTCAAGCTCTCCTGGGTTAAGAGCCAAGATAGAGGAATGCTAGGTATTATGTTGTTTATAAAAACCCAAACACTGATTGCCAGATTTATTCAAGTGTCACAGAAGCAAATCTGCTTAGAGAAGGGTCTGACCTTCTCCCTAGGCCAGTGATGGCGAACCTATGACACGCGTGTCAGAGGTGACACGCAACTCATTTTTTTGGTTGATTTTTCTTTGTTAAATGGCATTTAAATATATAAAATAAATATAAAAAATATAAGTCTTTGTTTTACTATGGTTGCAAATATCAAAAAATTTCTAAATGTGACACAGTACCAGAGTTAAGTTAGGGTTTTTTAAAATGCTGACACGCCGAGCTCAAAAGGTTCGCCATCACTGCCCTAGGCCCTCTTTTTCAGGAGTAGCCTGTAGCATGAGGCTTCCTTTTATTTTTTTCTTTAATCCTCACTGGAGGATATTTTTCCATTGAGTTTTATGGAGATTGGAAGAGAGAGAAAAAGACAGAGAGAAATATTGACATGAGAGAAACACATTGATTGATTGCCTCTTGCATAGGCCCTGGGCTGGAAAGGAGCCTGCAACCCAGGTACGTGCCCTTGACTGGAGTCGAACCCAGGACCCTTCAGTCCACAGGCTGACGCTCTATCCACGGAGCCAAACCAGCTAGGGCATGAGGCCTTTTTATCTTACGTACAGTAGGGATATTGTTTGGTCCAATAAGAACTGGGGGAGGGAGGTACAGTGAGGGATAATCCATCTTCTACTGTTTTACAGAGCAGAAAATGAAGTAGAAATCACATGAATTTCTACCAAGGTCAGTTACATATTAATCAGACAAGTCATACACCTCCTTTCTTCACTCTGTAACACTCAAAAGCTTGGAGAATTCCCCCTAATAGTCACTTAATGAATAGAGGTATTTGCTTTGCTAATAATTCAGGTGGATTTTTAAATAAATAAGGGAATATCTAAACACGGAGGAGGAAAAGATATAATAATTTCACTTACATAACAGTTCACCTTCAAAGTGCCTTACAGAGAACTTATTAATGCAGCTGTGCTGCTGAATAATTTTGTTACTGCAACAAAGAGCTGATTCTATTAAAACACAACTGAATTTTGAGGAGCTCTTGTGATTTTACCATTTCATCCTCTAGGCCAGCGGTTCTCAACCTTTGGGTTGCAACCCCTTTGGGGGTCGAACGACCCTTTCACAGGGTTCGCCTAAGACCATCCGAAAACACATATATAATTACATATTGTTTTTGTGATTAATCACTATGCTTTAATTATGTTCAATTTGTAACAATAAAGTTGGGGGTCACCACAACATGAGGAACTGTATTAAAGGGTCGCGGCATTAGGAAGGTTGAGAACCACTGCTCTAGGCAGTAACAATAGCACTAGCAGCAAAAATCCTTCCTTTGGAGTCCTAAGAAATTGTCCCAAATTTTTACTTTTCATCATCAAATCTATATCCATAACCTTTTTTGGATCCAATGGAACTGGTACATTACAATAGACTCAGACTGTTTCCAACTCTCTGATGCCCCAATCTGCACCCTCCAGTATCTGGGACAAGATACTCACCAAGTGAAATATATCCAGTGTGTTATTTAGCTGGTATATTTAGAACAAACTGTAAGCACAGTTGCCTAGGGCCCTCAGAAAGGCTACATGTCTATAGGTTAGATTTTTAAGAAAGTATAACTTAAGGGTGAAAACAGCTGGTGAAACTGCTCTGGGGCGGAAAGCTGAGAAGCCAGCTCCATTTTGGTACTCTCACCTACATTTAAGGCATTTATTTTTGTGGCTGTTAAAAAGGTAGTCTGCGCAAAGCACACCTCCTGTGACTGACTTTGCACATGCCATTTACATATGTTTCAAGTTTAAAATGGGGTTAGTTTTCCATGGCATGCTAATTCATCAAAAGAGGGAACACATACAAAGAGGGTCTATTTTTAAAATGATGGTTGAATTTAGAAATTCAGAATCAAGTATTGACATATTCAGTATCCACTTGCATTTATGAATTCATTTTAGATATTTTGTAATCAGGCCGAGAACTTAACGTGAAGATCTTCCCCTGCCAATAAAGACCAGTTCCCTGATTTGCAAAACATAAACAATAAAAATGAATGTGCGGGAATTTCTCCAAAACTGTGGGGTGGTAGTAAGGAGGCGAAAGAGGTCGTGAATTCTCTTCAACCGGACGAGCACTACCAGACTCTCCGGTTTGTAACAAGCAGAAACTGAAGTAGAAATCACATAAATTTCTACCAAGAAACAGTTCTTCATGATGCTGCCCACCAAAGCCGCAAGGTACTCAGACCCCAGAGTTCCTAGGGCCCCTTCACCAGGGCAACGCTGGCTTCAGGGCGGTCAAGGCAGGGGCGGGCCAGGTGAGGATGCTCTGGGCGGAAGAGGGAGGAAGCACAGGCAGGGACGCGACTGGCCTGGGAGTCAGTTACGGTCCCGGCGCCCCGTAACTCCCGATTGGGATGGATCACCTTGGGACTCAGCTTCCTTGTTAATTGTTTCCAGCGACTCAGCCCCGTCCTCTTCCTTGAGGAGGACCCTTCCTGGGGCGCCAGCAGCATTTTCCAGGTTCAGGCCGGGAGCTGGGCCGAAGCAGAAACACCCACTCCTCTGCCCACTCCGCTACCGCAGCTCCCTGGGAATTGTAGTTCCCCCGCCAGCAAGGAAGGCAGGTGCGGGGCGCCGGCGAACCACCACTCCCAGGAGGCTTTGCGCGGGTGGAGCCCGTTAGCTCGGTTACCCGTGGCAACGGCAGCTGTCCAAGGTCCGGGCTTTCGCTTGAGTTCGCGAGATTACTTTTGCCTTTTCCTGGCGCCCGGTGATGACGCAATGCTCCCTGATTGGCTCTGCATTCGAGGCGGTGATTCTGCAAGCGGGACACGTGGAAGCGAGCTGTGGGGAGGCTGAGGGGTCTCCAGACAAGAACAGTCGGGAGGTTTGTAGGTGAGTGCCCCCTCTCCCTGAAGGTGTGGGGACTACCACGGGTGATGAGTCGCGTCGCGCCCAGACACTTCCTGGTTGTGTTGCGCTAACTGTTGAGCTCCCCACCACGAATCCCCTTGCCTTCTCTGGGTCTCTCCTGGTGGCTTCCGTGTCCAGATTCTCCCAAACCGTGCGAGCTTTCTCCGCATCTCTGAGTAAAAGGGACCTGCTTTCAACTGGCCTCTGCTGAAGGGTCAAGTTATCAGCCGAAAGCTTCCCCCGGGCCGCCCAGGTTGCTGGAGCGGATGGGAGGATCCCGCATCGCTGAGCCCAGCGCTCCGCGAGGCCTGGAGGTGGCTCCTGGAGTGGCGGTACATCCGTCCTTATGGACCGAGCATGGATGTTTGAGTGGACAGTCCATTCTGGAGCGCAGGGGTGCATTAGGCAGGGTAGATGTTTAGAGCGGGAGCTTTGGACCAGCTACTTCGTGGCTGCATGACCTCAAGCGACTTGCTTAATAACTCTCAGGCCCCTCGGCAAAATGGGGGCGGTAGTACTGAAATATTGGAGTCTGGTAACGATGGAAAGTCAGTGTATATGTATAGAACCCTTCCAGGAAACGTAAACTAAACTGGACTTGAGATTGGTGAAAACGAGATCAGGGAAGCCGTGCCCTCAGAACTTTGCAGTGGTCTTGGGATCCGCTCCGTCTTCAGGGTCCGTCAGAATGGCGATGGTTGATTAAACTGTGATACCTACGCCCGGGCTGGGTAGCTCAGGCGGATAGTTACCAGTAAGTTGGGTAGAGCGTGGACCTGATACCCAAGGTTGCGAGTTCCATCCAGGTCAGGGCACATACAAGAATCCACCAATGGATGTATGAATAAGTGGGACAAATAAATGGAGCAAAATGGAATAGGTGACTTTAAAATTATATCTTAACATTGGAGTAACATAAGTAAACGTTGCATATGTTCATGGACAAGGTTCAGGACCTCTAGTGGGCTACCCGCCTATAAGAGTACAACCTCCCCAGTCAGACTTCTATGATTTAAGTCCTGGCTCTGACACTTCCCAATGGTGACTTCATTAGCCTCGGTTTACTCATATGTAAAATGATCAGTATTTCCCAAGCAGTGTGACTTTTCTCTACACATTGCAAGGCTGAGAGTGAGCCTTGGCTGCATAGCATTCTTTCTATGATTAGTCTTCACTTTCGTCCTTCCATTTGTTTGGATTTTATCAGGTCAGACAAAAATTCAGTAACTGAATTTAAATGGGGTTGATGTCATCATATTGCTCAGGGACTTTTTCCCGTTCCCCTGGATATATAAAAAAATCTTAGGCTGGAAGTCGTCGTAAACATGCTATAATTAATTTTTTTGTAGGTTATATTTGCAAAATGTTTAGTCTTTAAATGTCTTGAAACTTCTTCTGAATTTAATGATCTTTTCTTATCAGGACCTGGAGAATCCCTCAGGATGAAGCTGAGTCTCACCAAGGTAGTTAATGGCTGTCGCCTAGGAAAAATAAAAAACCTGGGCAAAACAGGGGACCGCACAATGGACATTCCAGGCTGCCTTCTATACACCAAGACTGGCTGTGCCCCACACCTGACCCATCACACGCTGCATAGTATCCACGGGGTTCCTGCCATGGCTCAGCTCACACTGTCATCGCTGTAAGTAGTGGACTCAACCATTCCAGGTTTCTACTTTGGCAGCAGCTTAGTTACCTTAACTAAGGTACAGCAAAGCAAAAGACTTTCTTGCTTATATGTGTACAATTTGTAGATTTTTTTAGAATGAAATCAGAAGAAATATATCAAATGTTATACATCATCTGGCCCTAATCTGGAAGGCACGGGTCAGACCTCCATGTTAAAGGTGCTTCACTTTTCCTCTGAACCCAAGGTTCCTCATTGCCACTTCCCCCAAGGGTGACCGGGGTAGGGGCTGCCTTTATGCACCAATCTCAAAAGATTTCTCTGTCCCTGCATGTGTACTTGCATGTGCTACTTATGGAAACAGAGCTAATGGAGTTAGACCATTTTGTGTATTGTGCATATTGACCTTATCCTTTATTGAATAATCTGCTCTAGATGAAATGACTGCAGTATCCTCCTATATAATAAAAGGCTAATATGCAAATTGTTCCCTCCACTGGGAGTTCCAATGGGGGGGGCAGGGTGGCTGCCCCCCCACCCCCAACTGCCTGTGGCACCTCCCCCTCTCCCCCACCTGCTGGACCCACCCCTGCACAAATTTGTGCACTGGGCCTCTAGTTGTGTTGATAATAAACTGATTTGGAAGGAGACGGGGAAGAAGAAATCGAGATATTCTGGAGCAGTTGAACTTTGCCAGTTTCTCTTCTCACAGAACCACTTGCAGATTGAAAACCTTTACTCTGGCTAATGCATCTAGCCTAGTGAGTTGGGACTCTTGAGTAATGGTGTTAATGGTGTATTTGTTGTTCAAGACTACATTTACTGTCACGTGGCATGTTTGGGTGAGAAGAGGACTTCAGTTGTATCGAGTGTCTGTGGAATGATTCATTATTATGTATTTTTCTGTTTTACTTACAGTGCAGAATATCACGAAGTCTTGACAGAATATAAGGAAGGAGTTGGAAAGTTTATAGGTAAAATTAATTAAGTTATTCATGTGTGCCTTATGATGTATTAATTTGGAGTTTGGAGGTGCTGTTTATTCTTTGATCTTTCATTCATACATTTGCTGGTTCATTAATTTAGTAAGCATTTAATGAGCATCTGAGAACCAGACATTGGGGATTCAAAGATGAATAGGGAACAGTTATTGCCCTCATGGAATCCAGAACCTAGTTGGGATAAAAATAAACAGGTAATTCCGGTAGAGTGGTGACTACATTTGAAGATTAGGGGTATGTACATGTATCATGAGAGCCAGAGGGAAAAGCACATAACCTGCTGTAGGGTACATGTGGAAGGAGGTCAGAGTAAAGAAAGAATTTTTGAGAGAGAAGTTGAGGGGCTCCTTAGCTGGATCAAGGAAGAGTTAGCCAGGCCAGGAGGGGGTGTTAGTAGACAGGTATGGGCAGATATTCCAGGCATAGAGCAAAGACCTAGAAGTGAAACACTGCATGGAATTTCCCTAAGATCCAAAGGATTTTTGTTAGGTTTGGGCCTAAAACATAAGGCAGAGGACAAAGAGTTTATGTACTGCTACCTTCTGATGTGTTAATGTTTTCTTTTGGTCCAGAACTAGGATTTTAAATGCAGGGGTATATGTCCATTTATTTATAGGAAAAGCTTAGCAGTGATAGCTGGAGAATAAATTCTTCTGCAGACCATTTTCTCCTGAAGCTTTTTCCAATATCTAAGGCTCACTTAAGTGAATAAAAATCCTGTTTCCATTGGTTATTCAATAGTCTGCTTGTGAGAGAAACTGCATGATGACTTGTTTGTCACAAGGCCCTATGTTTCAGTAGAGGAATTTATGTAATACAGTTTTTCTTGATATGAGACCAGTTTTAATAACCAGCTTTAAAGTATAAAAGTCTAAAATTAAGTGAAAATAGCTAATATAAGCTTTCTACAGATAATTGTAGCAGTTGAGATTGTGGAAAATGAGGTGAAGAACTGCAGAGATATTTTTTTAATTTGCTTTATTTTGGCGGTCTGTTTTCATTGAAATTCTATTCTTTTTTTCTTATGAAAATGCAGGCTAGCATATGAAATTTAAGCACATATGGTTTGCTAAACTTTTTTTGGATTTTTTTTTTTTTAAAAACAACTTTTTTTGACTAAAGAACCTAAGAAACTATCATCTTGAGTCAGTGAAACTTACTGAAAATGAGATTCATTTGCACTATCCTACAGCTTTTAATTCTGCATCTAGGGACTCATGATGTGGGATGGCTTTATCATTAATGAGATTATCTTTTGATTAGATCATTTCATCTTTCCAGGAGCTAGTTCCCCTTGCATAGTAACTACAATGAACATAATTGATACTAAATTTGTCTTCAAAGCAAATCGTGTAGGGTCAGCGTGTCATTAAACACTTTCATTGTATCTCATCCTTAGGATATACCTTCCCTTTGAAGCAATGCACTGTGTCATTAGAAATGAACCTTTGCAGTTAATTTGTTTAGATTAGCGGGTTTCAAAGTATTTTTCATTCATGTTGACAGGCCCCTGTATTTCTAAGTGCATATATGAGCCATTTACTGGGCTCAGTGTTGCTTTATCTAGCAGTATACATCATGAAGCTGTTCTGGTACAACACAGTGTAATTGTTGATATAAGTGCTTTCAAGGGTTCTTGTTTATGTTTATACAGGCATGCCAGAATCGCTCTTGTACTGCTCCCTGCACGATCCAGTCAGCCCCTGCCCAGCTGGTTATGTAACAAACAAGGTATGTTCTCAGACATTCCTCCAAGGCTACAACTTTGTCCCAGCAAGTCAGCCTCCTGTATCCCTCTGCCTGGGATGTTGACCCATTCCTGACCGCTTTTTGCCTTCTCTTTATTTTTATGAATATAATAGGATGGGTGGCTTACAGGAGTTAAAGGAGATCTGCCTGAGGATGGGATTAAGGTAAAGAATGTATCCTCAGCTTTCTCTTGTTACAAAAATTTGGGGCTGGAAAAGGGTTAAGTACATTCTAAAAAAAGAAATTGCCATGATGGTAGAAAACGGTAGTCTTTTGATACATGCTTTATTTGCAGTTTTAACAACCTCAGGAGGAGTGGGGAAAGTTGCTGATGAGTGTTATCACGTGTCCAACTATATATAGTGGAACCTCAGTGTAATACTGCTTGTTTTTAGAACAGAATTTAAAAAAACTGGGTCCACTTTTTAGCTAGTGAAGAGGAATATCAAAAGGACTTCATTAAAAGTTTTCTCTTGAGACATGGCCCCATTGCATTGTCCTTGAGGACAGTGTTGTGGCAAGGTTTCAGTACAGTGTAGGCAGAAGGAAGTTCACAGTTGTGAGTATGTGAAACACAGGTTTATTCTTGTATTATTACTTATTCTTATATATTTTTTCATACGAATAACTGCAAATCTCCTTTGCCTACCCCTGTATACACTACTACTTTACAAATGCAATTCCTTTCCCTGCACCCAATTTATTGATGTCAACAATATGTATTAATCTTACTAAGATTACTATTTTAAATTACTCTTCTGCTTTACACTTCTTTTTATCTTGTAATTTGTATTCAAAAGAAAATATTTTGATGTCAGTTATCTACCCTATTTATAAAGGAGAGAGGATTCATTTAAACATGCCAAAATAAAGACTGTGTGTCGCTTCCCCACCTATGTCCTTGTCAATCTTTTCAGAGAAGAGAGGAGCTGTAGGAGAAGTAACCAAAGGAACATATAGAGCAGTGGTTCTCAACCTGTGGGTTGCGACCCTTTGGGGGTTGAACAACCCTTTCACAGGGGTCGCCTAAGACCATTGGAAAACACATATATAATTACATATTGTTTTTGTGATTAATCACTATGCTTTAATTATGTTCAATTTGTTACAATGAAAATACATCCTGCATATTGGATATTTACATCACGATTCATAACAGTAGCAAAATTACAGTTATGAAGTAGCAATGAAAATAATTATATGGTTGGGGGTCACCACAACATGAGGAACTGTATTAAAGGGTCGCGGCATTAGGAAGGTTGAGAACCACTGATATAGAGGTTCTTGTGTACTATGGGATTTATGTCTTAGCACATAAATTCTGTATGTAACTCAACTTGGTAATTGCTTAATGATGTGTAAGGCCCTAGACCAGGGGCCCTCAAACTTTTTAAACAGGGGGCCAGTTTACTGTCCCTCAGACCGTTGGAGGGCCGGACTATAGTTTAAAAAAAAGTATGAACAAATTCCTATGCACACTGCACATATCTTATTTGAAGTAAAAAAACAAAATGGGAACAAATACAATATTTGTATTTGCATGTGGCCCGCGGGCCGTAGTTTGAGGACCCCTACCCTAGACTGTGCTTTTGGGGCACAACATGAATTGGGATACTCTAGTCAAATATACAATGGTGTGCTGAGGGCTCTCATTTCTATAAAAGAAGTAAGCACACATGTCTGAAAGAACATGGGTGAGGCAATTGATCATGCCAGGGAAGTTTGGGGAACACATTAGAGTAGGTGATATTTGAACTCTGTCTTGAAGGGTCCCAGGCAAAGGAGTAGGGGAAGCGACTTCAGTCAAAAGGAGTGATGTGATCAAAGACAGAAGAATCAAAGTCTGCAGTGTATTCAGGAACAGCATGGGTAGAGTGGGGTGGGCGAGACTGGAAGACTGGGCTTCTAGGAAAGTGTAACAGAATTCTTGGGAGCAAGCTCAGACGTTGGCTTGTATGGCCCTTAAAGGGGCCTTGTTGAGCAACAAGGTTCTTAGAGAATTTGGAGTTTAGTATAGGAACCCTCTTTTACTCACCATGTCTAGGATGTTGAATTGCTACCATCTCTAGTTGTAAAGAAGAATTAAATTGAGAATTGCTTTAGCATTCTGTTATTTGCATTTCACTCTTGCTAATTCCCCATCGTCTTGTTCATTGGCAGTCTGTGTCTGTGTGGGGTGTTGGAGGACGAGTGGAAATGACTGCTTCCAAGTTCATGGCAATTCAGCAGGCCCTTCAGCCAGACTGGTTCCAGTGCCTCTCAGATGGAGAAGCATCTTGTGCGGAAGCAAGTTCCATAAAAAGAGTCAGGAAGTCTGTTGACCGATCGCTGCTATTCCTGGATCATTGTCTGCGACTGCAGGAAGAGTCAGAGGTAAAGCTGTGCATCTCACTGCTACTCTTTCTTGGAAACTCTTGCTAATTGCCATTGCATGACACCGCCTCTTCTGTTCTTCCTACTTCTCTGCTCCTTGCTTCTTGGTCTCTTGTATGCTCTCCTATTCTTTTTTTCCTGACCCATTAATTATAATTGCTCTCTAGGATTTTGTCTAAGGTTCTCTTTACATCCCACTGTATGTGTTCTCATTAGGCAGTCTCCCCCTTTTTTTTTTATTGCTGATAATTCTAAAATACTAGGTACAATCAAGATCACACTGTTTAGCTTCAGGATCGCATAACTACAGGGCTTTAGCTGGGCTCTATTACTAGAATATTCCTCATGCACATCTTAAACTCAGAGAAGAAACTCCGTATCTTTTCTCTTCAAACCTCTTCTTCCTTTTGCTCTCTATCAATGCTCTACTTCAGTTTTTGGCAGCCACCAAGTTTCTCAACACAGAAAGTTGAGTCTTTCAAGACTCCTTTCAGTATCCAATTTAATCTCCAATATTCACTCTCCTTTGATTCCATCTCCCTAAATATACCTAGAATCTGCCCCCTCACCACCCTTATCACCATCTTAAGGCCTCATAACTTCAGATTGTCTTATGTAAATAATTACTTAATTGTTCTTTCTGTCTCTGTTCTCCATTCCACCCAATCCATCTTCAGCCCTGCTGTCCAAGAGATCTTCGTAAAGCACAAATATGAACCGGTTGCCCACTTTCCTAAAAGAATTTGAGGTTCTCCACTTCAGCTCTTACATGGCGTGGACGGCCTGCAGACCTGGCCTCTGCCTGTTTCTCCACCCAGTGTGGCCTCCTTTCTCTGTGGCTGGCACTTGCAGTTCCCTGAGGCATTTCCTGTTTCAGGGCACTGTGCCTACATGCAGACTTCCTTCTGGTCTGCTGCTTTGTTCTTATTCTCAGCCATATTTCTCTTCCTTCCAGCTCCGGCTCATTTATTCCATTGTTTTCATTCGAGGAAACTGCCCCTGACCCTCCCAGGAAGTTCTTTTCACTCTTTGCCACTCCTTTCATTTGGATGTAGCTATACTATAGCCCCAATCGTATTGTACTGCAATGATTTATGTGTTTGTCTATTAACTGTGACCTCCTTAAGCTCAGTTTCTGTGTGTTATTTTTTATCTTCATCATGTAGCAAAATTCCTGACACCCTCCGTAAATACTGATGGTGAATGGTTATGATGGCTGGAGAAGGAGCTGTAGCTGTAAATAAGGGCTCCTGATAGCAGAGTTGGTAGTGACGTTGGAAAAGGAAACGTTCACTAGGAGAACGCAGAGGAGGTAGGAGCTCAGGAGATAGTGACCAGAGGGGAGAATCTGGGTCTGATGATTTAGGTGGTCGTCCTGAGCACCGATTAGTTTTCACTATGGCAGGTGCTTCCGTTTGAGGAACATTGTCATTTTGAGTTTACCCATAAAAATGTAATTTGACTAATACAGTTAGTATACACGAAATAATGAGAGGAAACTTAGTTGTCATTCAGAATAGAACTCTCAGTATCTGCAATAGGAGTTCAGCCTGGGACACTGCTGTGGGTCTGAATTGCTAGTGTTGCTCACTAGCCATTGTTTTGAGCCAGTAATTATCCTTGTAAAGTGAGTAATGTTTGATGAGTAAAAAGGACAGAGTATGACAGGACATGGTTATCAGAAAGGCCAGATGCGCCTCAAGTATTTCTTCTATGTTATACTCAGCCTCACCATTTCATACTGTTTTTGTGTGTCGGTCAAATGCTGGGATTCCTCTCTGTACCCCTTATGTTTATGCTATTGTCTTGATATGATTATTAATAGTGCCTCCTATACTCTTTAATGTGTTCCATTTTAGACAATAACTATATGTGACCCTGCTTCTTATACCCATGAAACGGAATTTCTCAGATAGGGCTGTGTCAGTCACACAAAGTAACAAGCCTGTGTAACTCTGCTTTGTATGTCTGCATACATCTTTTTCTTTTCCAATGATTCCTTCCCCTCTTATTCATTGGATCCTCTTATTTTGAGTGCCCTTAAGTGTTGACACTCCTGAAGGTTTCTGTTGTTGGACTTCTTTTCTTCTTCATACATTCCCTAGGCCAGAGATGGTGAACAGGTTTCATCCCAAGGTGCTTGGAGCTGTGCCCGGTACGAGCAGGAAGAGAGTGGTCTGTTAGGCATGTCTGCCGTGGAAGCAGGAGTCAGGAGTGGCTGCCCAGTGCCAAGGGCCTACCGTTCTAGCTTGGGCACTCACATTTGTGTATCTCACATGTCCATAATCAGGCCTCTGCCGTGGCTAAATGTGTATGTTCCACTGATACCTCAAACTCAGAATACACAAATCAGGATGTTCATCTTGTCTCAGCCTCACTATTTTTAAAAAAAATATATTTTATTGATTTTTTACAGAGAGGAAGGGAGAGGGATAGAGAGAAATATCAATGAGAGAGAAACATCGATCAGTTGCCTCCTGCACACCCCCTAACTGGGGATGTGCCCGCAACCAAGGTACATGCCCTTGACCGGAATCGACCCTGGGACCCTTCAGCCCACAGGCCGATGCTCTATCCACTGAGCCAAACTGATTAGGGCTCACTATGTTTTTTTTTGTTTTTTTTAGGATTATCTGTCTGCTCTTCTCAGCATCTCCCTGGACTTCCAAAAAGGAGCCAGGAGTCATCCTAGAGTCTAGGACAGCTGTGGGCAAACTACGGCCCGCGGGCCGGTTCTGGCCCGTTTGAAATGAATAAAACTAAAAAAAAAAAAGACCGCACCCTTTTATGTAATGATGTTTACTTTGAATTTATATTAGTTCACACAAACACTCCATCCATGCTTTTGTTCCGGCCCTCCGGTCCAGTTTAAGAACCCATTGTGGCCCTCGAGTCAAAAAGTTTGCCCACCCCTGACCTAGACTGTCCTCATCCTCTTCTTGGACAACTAATCAGTTGTTGATTGTACCATCTGATGAGGTTTCAGATCCACCCCTCTTCACCCACTGGCACTGCCTTAGACCAGGTCCTCTTGGACTTTTACTTGGGTTATTACATTGCCTCCTGCCCCATCCTTTAGCCGTGCTCCCTCTTAATTCACTCTCCACACAATATCCAAAGTGTTCTTTCTGGAGGAATAGTGTGATGATGCCCCTCCTGTTTAAGAAGCAAAATTCCCTCTTCATAGCCTCCCTCCCCACCCCTCTGTTCTACCAGAAAGCCACTGTTGACTTGTGTATTTCCTTGCATAGCTTATATTTACAGTTACATACACATAATTACATATATGTGTGGTTTTTATAACATGAATACAATCATATGTTCAGAAATTTCCTTATTCCTTGCTTAACAATATCTTGAAACTCTTTCCTCGTGAATATATTTGTAGTAGAAATTTGTAGAAGTGAAATTTTAGGATATAAAGATGAAACCACAGACATTGTGATACGTGTTGTGTACATGCCCTCCCATGAGGCTGGACTAATTTTTACTTTCTAGTTATCAGGGTATGTAAGTACATTTTTCACTTTCACTTTCACTGTGTTGTTATCTTTGAGCTTTTTTGTCAGTGTGATGGGCAAAAATGGTATCTAATTGTTTCCAATTTGCATTTCCTCACTGTGTGAGGTTTAGTAAGCTCTCCATATGTGTACAGGGCATTTACATTTCTTTTTCGGAAGTTCATATTTACATATCTGTCTAGATCTCAATAGGGCTGTCATTTCCTTAGAGGATTTTTGGAGCTTTTTCTGTGGTGTAGATGTTTACCTATTCCTCCAAAGAGTAAGTTTTCCTTTGCCCTTGTTGATAGTATATTTTACTAGAGAAGGTTTAATGTTTTTGTACTGAAATATGTCAGCCTTTTACTGTAAGTTTTAGGTTGCTTAGGAAGGCCTTCCTTAGACCAAGATTAAAAAAATATTTAATATATTCTAATATTTGCATAACTATATTTTTTTATGTTTAGTTTTACTTTTAAGGATGGTGTGCAGTAGGGTTTTTTTGTTTGTTTTTGTTTTCCAAATGGATAGTCCATTGTCTCAACCAAATAGTTTAGAAGTTCCTAAAGTTGAGTCTAATTAATAATGACTTGGCGGGGACCTCAAGCAGGCCTGGATAGTCATTTAAACAAATTGAAACTATCCCTTTGTCTTTTTCCTCTTGTACCTGCTCAGCATGCATTTAATTTAATCTAAGCTAAAGCATGGCTGCGTTTGCCGATTGCTTCAGTTTCTCCACACAGTCTTTTCATACTTGGGTGGCTTTCAAATTGTGCTCTTCGGAGCAGAGACAGCACCATTCCCTGCATGCTTCCCACTGAGATTTTGTCTGTCCATTGGGCTTCTTTGTAAGGTTCATTTAGATTTTAGACAAAGGTCTCCACTCCTGGAAATGGTTAAAATTGTTCAGTCTTTTTTTACCTTAGGTCCTTCAGAAAAGTACGATCATTGGAGTGATTGAAGGTGGAGATGTGATGGAGGAGAGGCTGAGGTCAGCACGAGAGACAGCCAAGCGGCCTGTAGGTGGCTTCCTTCTGGATGGCTTTCAAGGGAACCCGACAACTCTGGAGGCTAGACTGGACTTGCTGTCGTCAGTTACCGCGGAGCTGCCAGAAGACAAACCGAGGCTAGTGCTGAGTTGGATGCTGGCTGAGCTTCATGGGCGGCAGAACTGGAGTGCTGGGGGTTGAGTATTGTGCAGTCTATACATGGGCATGTCTTTCAATGTTTTTTTTAAATAAATATATTTTATTGATTATACAGAGAGGAAGGGAGAGGGTAGAGAGTTAGAAACATCGATGAGCTGCCTCCTGCACACTCCCTACTGGGGATGTGCCCGCAACCAAGGTACATGCCCTTGACCAGAATAGAACCTGGGACCCTTCAGTCCGCAGGCCAACGCTCCCAGTTAGGGCTCTTTCAATGTTTTGATGTTGTCCTTTCTGGGTTGAGTCTGCTGAGGCTGACCACAGGGGGAATTTCCATCGAGGCTGTCCTGTGGTTGGTTCAGGATGTAGACCAGAGGACAGTTGCCATATGAATGAATTTATTTGATGCTCATTCTAAGTGAGGACAGGTGCCATACTGTTTCTCCTCATTCTTGTGCTAAATGCAAGCACTGTTCCTATGCATTAGAACATGGTTTCCAGGGACAGGTATAAGCTGTGCGGACTCTGGCCTTCCTCAGGGAGAGCTGAGGATGAATCTGTGCTGCTAGCAGAATGAAGATGGGCACTACTAATAAGAACTTCATAGATTTGAGGCAGCGGTATCATATTTTGAAATTGAGGGAGCTGGCAACACTATTGTTCTTTCCATAAATCCCAGGTTTTACTGTGGGCTGGTGAGAAGGGATGATCTACATGATTCAAAGCTAAAAGTCCTGAGTTTCTGGGTGCAGCTGATGTCTTATTAGACTACCCCCAATTTTGTTTTTTTTAAAGAATAGTCTTTTTTCCACTTGGTGTGAATATTTATGCTCTTTCCTATAGATATCATAAGAGGTCTGATTATGACGTGCTGCTTTATACCCCTCGGGCTGTTGGCTAGTATCTAACATGCAATTTTACTACTTTTTAAAAACAGTTATAACTTGCAGTAAAGTGTGTGAATCTTATGTAGAGCTTGATGACTTTTTACACATACACACACACTGTGTAAACACCAGCCAGAATGATATCTTTTCATCACCCCAGGCAGCATTTGCCCCGATTTTAACCCCATTGTCTGTTCATTGCTCCCCCTCCTAGTCCATTCCGGTACAGACTACAATTTAGCGTTAGTATTTCTAGTCTTTTTCTGGACTTCTCTGAGTTAAGTGCTCACAGATGTCTGTTACTGGATTTGAAAGCTGGGATTGTTTTTCTTTCTATAAGTGTGTAGAAACTCCAGCTTCAGTTGGAGAGGAGGTCTAAGACATTACGTTACTTGAGGGAAACTGTAGTCAGAAAAATCAGCATATATTTAAGGGTTCTGGTTGTTTAATATTACATAAGCCTTTTTTTGGACTTCTTTTAGAAATCAGAGAGTCTGTAAGCTTTTCTCTGCCAGTTCATAAAAGGAACTATGGGTAGAAAAACAAACATAAAAAACAGCAGCCAAGCAGCCCTGATCTAGCATCTTCTGGTGTTGTTTTAGTGGTAAAACCTTGGTTGAGTATTAATATTCTCAGAATGCCTTGCCCATACCTCTAAAATTACCACCTCATCCCACCATGCAGACGTTTTATTCATGGTGAAAATATAAAGAAGCATAAATAAGGCCAACTAGATTCCTAGATTCTGTGGGCATAGTTGAAATTCTGAGAGCAAGAGTTGCTTTGTAAATGAACCTATGATAAAAATGCCTTTCTGGAACCAATTATAAAAATGAATTATAGGCAACATACAGTTAAAATATAGAAGTATTTGAGGGGGAACTAAAGTACACAACCTTGCACTCTTAAAAAAAATCCATGTGGATAGGTAGGCTATAAAAGTTCAGTCTAAGACTAGGGAGGTTGTTCAGCACAGATGAGAGGAGGAAGAAAACTAACCTTTACACTATGCTTTTTCAAATATCTCATTAGTTCTCCAAACAGTTCTGTGAGGTATGTATTCATGCTCTTATCTATAGTAATAAAAGGGTAATATGCTAATTAGACCTGACGTCCTTCAGGACAAAACCAGGACACAGGGAAGCCGGTGCCGGCAGCCAGGGGAAGGAAGGCCTACTCTTGTATGAATTTCGTGCATCGGACCTCTAGTTTTTAAAATGAGAAAACAAAAACTCAGAGAGGTTAAGAAACTTTCCCAAAGAACACAGCAAGTAAATTAATAGCAGAGCTCTCTAGCCCAGCTCTCTCTGCCTCCCAAGTAAAGGTTCTTTCCACCACATCTTATTATTTGCTGCCTGCCATGCTAACTATGACTGATGGTTTTCATTATTATTTTAATGCCCTCGTTGAGTCCTGGCATTGCCCTCATGTCAGTGTTCTTATTTTCACAGGCTCATCTGTGGCGTTAGCCTGCCAGATGAGGTGCTCGAGTGTATTGAAAGAGGAGTGGACTTATTTGAGAGTTTTTTCCCTTATCAAGTGACAGAGCGGGGAGGTGCCCTGACTTTCAGCTTTGATTACCAGCCGAATCCTGAGCAGACATGTAGGTCTTTTGAAGTTCATCTCAGTGTTATCCTTAACTTTCTTCTGTTTCCTATCAGTTGTGGCTTGTGATGCCAGCCAGAAATATGGGCATATTATAAAGCCAGCCTTTTATAAAACTTCATCTTTGTTTCTTATCTGTATGCTCTGGCATGTTGGTCCACACAACCCAGGTACTTAATACTATACACATAGCTCATCATTATTAGCAGGTAATTTTGGAGTTAGCAGAAGCAAAAAAAACAAACAAACCACAACACACACACAAAACCTCTTCTATTAACAGCCTGAAAAAGACCATTCACAGTGAATAGTGATGAAAATCTAAGAAAAGAAAACCTTGAACTGCTTGGTAAAAGTTAATTTGTTTTTTCACAAAAGAGTTCTTGTCTGCTTTTTGCAAATCCTTTGCTATTAAAATACAGGGAGTCTCACCACCCTGATCCTAGCGTTACTTTTGCTTTTTTGTGCACACTGAGATGTGAAAGCTGTTTTCCGTTGCGATTATTGCTTTGAACACTGCCATTTTATTTTATTGTTTAGTTATTCAGAAGTCAAGAAAATCAGTTTCCGATTCTGCCATTTAACTGGCAGTAGTAAAGGAACCGGGATGCTGGCTTTGGGCTGGGTCCCTTGAAGCACCTGCCCAGTTTTTCCCGAGAATGTTGCATGCCCAGTGTTTCCTCAGGCCTCCCTGGGTGTGCGGTCCTTTCCCGTCCTGCTGTCATTTGAACTCGTCCTCTGTCACCGCCAACCTTAAATTTGACTAGGGCTAGAGACTTCATTTAAAGGTTCATTTTATTCCCCATAAGTTATCAAAATTTCATTCAGAAGATGTTACACTTTTATAGAGCAACTTAAGCATTAATCTAATTGGAATTACTCGGAAAACAAAATAAATCAGGTTGGCCAAATTCTTATATATATAGGAAGTCAATTTTACTGTCTTTTAGACCAGAATATAATGTATGTGGGTAGGTGTACCATAAACACTTTATAAATGTTCATGACTTTATTTACAAGCTTAATTATTTCCACCAGGACATAGGTAGCTTAGTCATTCCGTACCATGTATATGCAAAATTGAAAAAGAACCTGATATTGTTCCTCTTTGGCTACAGAAAGCTTTTTATTTATGATTAGGAAAATTGAAATCGTTTGAACATTCTTATTAAAGTATTATTAATCACACTTGTGTGTATAGTAATTTATAGTCCTTTGCCAATTACAAAGTGAAAATTACAAAGGAATAAGTTGTCTAATGTAGACAGCAATTCCCTGGGTGAGGATTTCCCGAAAGCCAGGCTTTTATGGGTTCCCATGTCACCACGCAAATTCATGGCAGCAAAGTATAGCCCTGGGCTCATGCTCGGGTCACATCCTCTTTTTCCTTTAACTTGGACCAAATTACCTTCCTAGGACCATCTGCCCATTCTCCTTGGGCCAACCCTGAGATTGTTATTACTTGTTCCTAGAAATACTCATCTACTTGTCCCTTTTTAAGGCAGCTGGCTCTGTGCTTGGGAACTGGTGCTTCTCTTGTAAACCAGGAATGTTTTTTTCTTTTTTTTTTGACTGGAATAACCATTTGTTTTTGTTTTTTTGTTTGTTTGTTTGTTTTTATTAATTAAGTTATTACATATGTATCCTTATCCCCACGTTACAGGAATGTTTTTTTCTTAAAGCAAAGAGTTCAGGGGAATAATTCAAGTCCCCATGTAATTCTGAATAATCTGAGTTCCCTGGAGGACTGGAGTCTCCATACAGAGTACACAAATTTAAACCATATTCTACTTTCAATCTATTTGGAACATAGGCAATTATAAAGCCCAATTAGTTTGCATGTGCATTAAGATATGACATAACACACACATTTATTCACATAAACACAGTAACTAGTTTTTAAAAATCATTTCTTGACAGTAAGATTATATTATGTACTTATAACCATAATTTGTTTAGATATTGTTGAATCTCCAAATTTTAATATTATAGATTTATAGATAATGGGTCTATGATCATCATATACATATTGCTATTTTTCTTTTTAAATATATTTTTATTGCTTTCAGAGAGGAAGGGGGAGAGAGGGAGAGAGAGACAGAAACATCAATGATGAGAGGGACATTGATTGGTTTCCTCCTGCATGCACCTCAACCAGGGCCAGGAATCAAGCCTGCAACCAAGTATGTACCCTTGACCGGAATTGAACCCAGAACTCTCCAGTCCTCAGGCTGACACATCCACTGAGCCAAACCGGCTAGGGCCATATTGCTATTTTTCTTATGTCATTTCCTTGAGATAGGATTCAAGAGTGGAATTACAGAGTCTAAGGGCATGAAATAGCAACTAAAATACGATACTCCCAAAGGCCACTCTTTATCTGACTTTCATTCAAGACTTTTTGTTGGTTTCTCCTTCAGTATTACAACAAAATGGGACTCAGGAAGAAAAACAATATGTGGATCAGTCAAAGAAAATGAAAACAGCCAGTGGCAACCAAGAAATGACACCATTTGAAATTAATCTGAAGGAAAAAAAGTAAGGATTTTTTTTTTTTTTTTTTTTTTAGTTTAGATATTGATTTCTGACTTTTAAATTTCAATCTGTTTTAAAAGTTTACATTACTGTTCCCTTTTCAGTTTATGACTTCATAAAATACTTATAGTTGGGTATTAGTTAGGCCTTCTCAAATTCAGTTTCAGAAAGTCCTTTTTCTGCAGAGGAAGTTGTGTACTTTGTCTTATCAGAAAACTGAGCCTAGTTAACTACTGTTTAAGAAGAGCTGTCATAAAGGTTAGACCAAACCCATTGTTTGCTGTTTTTTACTCCTTCCAATTACTTTAAATAATGACAGAACAAAATAGGGATTTCAAGATAAAATACAACATTTTTAAAAATTTTAAGGAACTTACTATAGTAATGCCTATCTAGTAATAGTACAGATTTGAAAGTTTATGAAAGAATATGAAAATCCTAGTTTTCATCTATTCTCTAGGGCAGCCGTGGGCAAACTACGGCCCGCAGGCCGGATCCGGCCCGTTTGAAATGAATAAAACTAAAAAAAAAAAAAGACCGTACCCTTTTATGTAATGATGTTTACTTTGAATTTATATTAGTTCACACAAACACTCCATCCATGCTTTTGTTCCGGCCCTCCGGTCCAGTTTAAGAACCCATTGTGGCCCTCGAGTCAAAAAGTTTGCCCACCCCTGCTCTAGGGGCTTCTTAATTGTAGGTGTGAAATAATGTTTACCACATTTAACATCTTAAAAAATAGCCAAGGAGTTTCATTTCTATTTTTTAAATGTTACGGTAATATGAATGGTTACCACTAAAGTTCTCTGTATGTTATAGATTTAGCTGGAAATGGGAGTTTTCTTATATCAGCGCTAGATTGGAAGTTACGGAGACTTGGAAGTTGGGATCCCAGCACTGCTCGTGCCTGTCTGACACTTTCCAGGTCATTTGACTGCGTTTTAATAGCTGATAAAAGGTAGCACATATCGTGCTTAGTGTGTGCTCAGCAATGTCCAAGCCTTTTCCTATATTCACTCATTTAATCCGGGGAACAGCTCTGTAAGGTGGGCATTGTTACCATTATAGATGAGGAAACAAAAACAGAGGGAGGTTAAGTGACTTGCCCAAGTAAGCTCTGATCCAGGAATCAAACCCAGGCATTGTAGCTTCAGAGCCCTCCTCATAGCCCCCTTAGTGGTCCTCATCAGTAAAATGACAACAAAAATGCCTGTCTCCAAGGGTGGTTGATGAGATTAAAGAGGTAGTATATAAAAAAGTGGTTTGTAAACTGCAAAACGCTATGCAAGTGAAAGGTCAGACCATGTCTTCTGATACTAGTTTTGGTGGCCAAAGGAGCAATGTGCATTCATCAGAACAGCATTCCTGTTATTACAGTGTGACTGACAGTGCTCAGCCTGAGGGAGCGAACACAGGACTCTCTTTGCTGCTCCCTGTAAGCCTCAGGCTAGAAGGTTATATTCAGCTGAGGAGGACTGCTAACTGGGGCCACATTGCCCTCTTAAGCAGGTGCCCAGCTGTACATTTGGCAGTGATGCTATTAACCATATTCGTTATGCACCGGCAGAATAGGCCGCCTAGGTTGTGGAGTTCGTATATTCCTCACTTTCTGGAATGTCATTCTAACTTCCTTCCTCAGGTACCGCGAGGACTTTGACCCATTGGTGAGAGGGTGTTCCTGTTACTGCTGTAAGAACCACACTCGTGCTTACATTCATCACCTGCTGGTGACCAATGAACTGTTGGCCGGAGTCCTGCTTATGATACACAACTTTGAACACTACTTTGGATTTTTCCACTCTATCCGGGAAGCACTGAAGAGTGACAGGCTGGCACAGCTGAAGGAGCTCATCCGCAGGCAAGCATAGTGAGCCTGGCACACAGGCCTGACTCCACATTGAGCCAGTACCACTGCTGTTCTGTGGGAAGCGGAGAACGAGAAACCATCTTAGCTTTCATCATTTATGTTTGAGAATACGGTCTGCTCAGATAAGGAACGTCTGTACCAAACTGCCCACAGGAGGCTAAAGAGCTTTTTTCTAAAGACTTAAGTGACCTGGATTGATCAGAAAGAATTGAACCATGACCTTTAATATTTCTGTGCTAACTCTTTTAGTCAGTAGAGATTTGTTTAGTCAAAAGCGTTAGATGTGAAGAGACAGCCTTGAAGTGGCAGTGATGAGATTCTGAGGGTACACTGAGGTGCATTGGAGATTAAAGGGAGATGATTGGTCATGAGCAGCATGGCCTTGTGGCCTCATGCCTATTGACTGGAGAAGGAATCTGCTTCATTCAGGCATTTTCTTTGTGCTCAGGGGCCTCTTTTGGGTACTGCCTTCCAAGCTGCTCCAGCAGTATAGTCAGTCAGCAGTGGCTCTTTCGATTTAACCAGGCGCACATCTCCATGGAACGTGGGGCTCACACATTGCTCCTCTGACCGATTGCTCCAATGCACACGCCTTCATTTGGCTACATGGCTACGTGGTCTATTTCTGACTTGTCTCCCTAGAGCTAACTGGAAGCTTCCCTAGCTGCGTCTGGTTGTGCAGGTCCACTATAGTCTGCCCTTTAGGTTCAGTAATAGTCTGACCACATAATAACTGTAGCCTCATCACTTGGGGAGATTCCTCCACCATATGTTCACTTGGATAGAGCTTCAGACTGGCAGTTAGAGGATTGGGGTTCAGTGCTACCCACCCACCTCTTCATGCCTGTTTCCTCCTGAATCATTGGGGACAGGCATGTGGATCGGACTAAATGAACTTCTGAGATTCCATCTAACTCTAATATTTGGGAAACAAATAGTTTTAGATCAGAGTCATAGCCTTACTTACAGTTCTTGCTTATTGATCACCATTGGCCTGATGAAAATGCAGCGGAGCCAGGAGTCAGGCAATAATAGAGACATTTCAGAGTCTAAAAAGAGGTTTGGCTGTGGATTTTGAAGTGGTTGGTGAATTGGCATTAGCAGATCCTGAGGCTGGAAAGACCTTCCTGGATCATCTCTGATCCTGTGAGTTTTTTTACTCTTCCCAAAGGAGTGACATTTGTGTTGATGGTTGTGACAAGTGATTTGTATATTTTTGTGTGCTTTTCTATATTTATGAAGTTTTCTACAAGAACATACCTACACAGCCCTGTCTGGTGTGGCTCAGTTGGTTGGGCATTGTTCCATGCACTGAAAGTTGCTAGTTCGATCCCCAATCAGGGTACATGCTTGGGTTATGGCTCGATCCCTGGTGTGGGGCATGCAGAAGGCAGCCAATCAAAGTTTTGCTCTCACATCAACGTCTCTCTCTCTTTTTCTCTCTCTCTGTCTTTCTCTTTCTCCCTCTCCCTAAAAATTAATTTAAAATATATACAGACATTTATACGCATAGTTTTTGTCAAAACAACAACAGAACCAAAAAGAGGCCTTTGTTTTTGTTTTTTTAAAAAAATATATTTTATTGATTTTTTTACAGAGAGGAGGGGAGAGGGACAGAGTTAGAAACATTGATGAGAGAGAAACATTGATCAGCTGCCTCCTGCACACCCCCCACTGGGGATGTGCCCGCAACCAAGGTAGATGCCCTTGACTGGAATCGAACCTGGGACCCTTGAGTCCGCAGGCTGACGCTCTATCCACTGAGCCAAACCGGTTAGGGCAAGAGGCCTTTGTTTTGTGTGTAGGACTGTGAACTACATTTGTTTTATATTATTGTGCTGTATTTTGCTGTTTGTTTATTTTAGTGGGTGTTACTAAGCATTTTTAAAAAATTATGTGGTTACTACATTTTTATGTGTTGGATGCCCATCTATATGGTTTAACTTTATTAGATGGGAGTAATTCTGTTTTGGAATTCATAACTTTGGAATTCATGGGCATTCCTATTACCTCTCTCCATGAATGGTACGGGTACTTATGAAAGAATCTCTGTTCTCAAGGATCTGATTGTTTTGAAATATATTGGATGGGACTTGTTCATATGTTTATATTCCTTTTCAATGCCAAATCCATTGTTAGAGGACTATTAATAAATATCCCAGAATTTGTATAAAATGTATGAGTTTTATGTTCAAAACACTGAAATTTCTGCCCAATATTGTCCATTTTTCTGGGTCTTTTTCTTATTAGCATATTTGAAAAAAATGTTTCTTTAATGAAACCTATTAAAGTCAATGGCCAGTAAACATTTTGAACTAAAAATATACTGTCTTATTTCCTGTAACTGGTAGTGGATCTACTAAACAAAATATTAAATTTCCATGGTACCAGAAATAGTCTCCAATAGAAAAAGATTTTTCTACATTTATTCCATCTGTAGTCATTGTTTTAAGTGTGCTCACACTAAATGCAGAATCCAGGGAGACTCAGGGATGCATCTGTCTCTTTAAATTATATAATTAGGGATCTTAAGGCCATGCTTAGCACATAATGAAAATAATAACTACAGTCTTTGGAGCATTTTTAATGTGCCGGGCACCTCAGTACATGCTTTCCATATATATCTCATTGACCTGTAGAGTAAAGCTGTCAGGTGTTGATATATTATTCCTGTTACTGAGTTTCAGGAAGGTTGAGGGCCCTGCCTGAGGGCCTACCAGGAATTTCTGGAAGGTTGAGTAGTTTGCCTAAGGTCTTCCTTCCACTAGTTAGCTCCCAGGTTAGACTTTGGCTCCATCTGACTAAAATTCATCAGTTCCCATTGCACTAAGTAGCTTCTTGCTTGTGACTTGCTCCTGGGTTAAAGGACTAAGAGAAGCAAGGACTGAATAGAGGGGCCTCTGTCTTAAGGGACAGATGCTTCTGGAGCCTTGCTGGCACTTGGCCCCTCGCTCCTACTCCTGTAACGGAATAGCCGGCACTGCGATGTGTAGCTACAGTACCATGCTATCACCTGTAGGTCTAAGTGCCATTCCTTGTCCCTAAATCCCTCTCACCCCCCAGTTTGGGGACTACTCCCACCCTGAACTGTGTTGAAAGGGTTTGGGTCTCTGATGGGTTCAAGTGGACTCTTGGATAATCAATAGGAGTCTGAGGTTTCCTGTATGCCTTGGGGGAGGAATATTTTATTCTCTGGGAATAAAGGGAAAAGATTCTTCTAAAACATTTTAAAATCAAATATTAGTATAATTAGAGAATTTTAATAAAAACTTCAAACAAAGACCATCCAAAGGCCAAGATGAGAGTGTGAGAGCAACTATCTTACCCAGGATGTTTTTTTCTGTTGAGGCAGCTTGGAGCTCACTGAGACCCACAGAGTTAAATGATTACCCTGTGCCTTCCTGATTAGGAACAGGCTGCTCTCTGCAGTTTGATTAGTCTCGCTCGTAGCTACGGGATTACAGCTTATTAAAACTGACAGTGCTGTGTAGGGCAGGCAGCCAGGAAGGTCAAACTCACATGCTGAGCCAGCCACCAGCAAGGCTCTGCCTTTACCTGAAGGTTTGGTGTAATTGGCATTCATTTAAAAATTCTTTTCCATTTCTTTCCTTTTAAAAAAAAATACCTTTCAGATCTCTTTCTCATTTTACACCTTTTATCTCCCTTATTCCTCATAAGAGTTCCTGACTTATGACCACATAATCCAAATAACAGTGGGTACAGAAGAAGAGCAAGTCCAGTGTACTAGTAAGCTATGTGAGTTCGGGTCACCATACATCCTCACAGTCCACTGTCCACAACAATCCCGGTTTATGTCTGTGGTGCAGGCATAATTACTAATAGCACCCCCTTTACTCTCAAAAGTGCCCTAGTTTGGACAACAAGTTATGTGGCCACCCTAGTGTGAGTGGTAGAGGTGGCCCACCCGGAGAGAGCACAGGTGTCCGCCCAAATCGGACAGTTGCTACCCACTCGCCAACCGCGGCAGTGCCTCCAATGCTGTGCTGTCAGATCTCCTCAGTCTCGTGGAGAAGCCAAAAAGCTGAATTTTCAGGTGAAATCTCACCATTTTTAAGTGCTGGATCAATTTTTAAGGCCCATCAGCAAATGAGTGGATTAAAAAACTGTGGTACATCTACACAACGTAATACTGTGCTGCTATAAAAAAGAAGGAACTTTTACCATTTGCAACAGCATGGATGGAACTGGAGAGCATTATGCTAAGCTAAATAAGCCAGTCGGAGAAAGATAAATATCACATGATCTCACTCATATGTGGGATATAATGATCAACATAATTTGATGAACAAGAATAGATCCAAAGACAAATGGCAGGGGAGGGGTGGGTTAGAGAGCAACCAAAGGACTTGTATGCATGCATATTAGCATAACCAATGGACACAGACACTGGGGCGGTGGGGGCTTGCCCCGGATGGGAATGGCTGGGGTGGGGGGGTGTCAACTGGGGAAAAAGAAGACATATGTAAAACTTTAGACAATAATATATATATATATATATATATATATATATATATATATATATATATTCTGGTAGCCCAACAAAACCTAGGTGTGCCTAGTTTGTAACCTTTGAGTTAGAATCTGGAGGGAAGTTATTTTTAGCAGTTTAAAATTCTCAGTGGCTCATAAAATACACAGAAAAAGCACCTCAAGTTTCTAGCTCCTGCAGCTGATCACAGGTTCCCACGTGCAGAGATTCTCATGTTCTCCCGACTTCATCGCATGATCACACAGCTCCCAGGACCACTCTAAAAGGCTTAAAGGGGCAGGAAGCATGATCTATCTTATGGATGGGAACTGTTAGGTCTGGGGGAGGAAGGCTAGCAGTTGTTGTGTCTTTCCTCTTAGGGAGTCTGAACAGGCATTTTTCTTCCCAGTTACCACTCCGGCTGTCCTACATCTTACCCTATTTTCTGCTGGCTCTGCCCTTTCAGGGGCGGTAATGATTTCCCAGTTCTCACTTCCCAGTGATCCTTCTGACTTCACAAAACCAGTTGCTACAAAGATATAAGGGCTCCCATTGCACCGTCCAGCATTAGTCCTCTTTGACACAGTGAGAGCTCAATTATGTTTGTCAAGTGAACGCAAATCCTCTGAGCAGTTGAGGCGTTAGCTGCAGACTTGAGCCTACTGAGCACTGGTTACAAGTGACCCGCGCAGCAGTACGTGGTGGGATCCTGACTGAATGTCTTGTCAGTGGTGCTTTTATTTCCTTTGTGCTAGGCAAGCTCCCGATGACCTGACATTTTTGTTCTTCTTTTACTGGGTTCTCCTTCCTACCATTAGCATCTTCTAGTGCTGGCCTCAAAGCAATTTCCCCTGCCCTGACAAGAGGAGCTCAGAGTGAACTTTTCTTTTGTTCTCATTCCTCACGCTCCACTTTGAGCCCGGGCTGAAGTTGCCAAGGAGTTCAAACAGCCCGTGCTTCCGCCAGTGTGCGTCAGAGGGATTAGCACGTCCGCTCTGCACACTTTCCCTAATGTTCACCTCTTTCCCTTAAGTGCTGTCCCCTGCCGTCTGCTCCTTTGTCGGGGAAACACACTTTCTCTTATTATCACCTTGTTCCCGGCCTGTTTCAGATGGCTTCGGCTCGCCTCTTAACAAAATCAAGATGTTGCTATTAATGTTCATCTCTTTCTTTAACAGCTTAGCGTCACCTTCTTTTATTTAGTCCTTTCCTTCTTCCCTCCCAAACCATGTAATCATCTCTACTTCAAGTAAAAGTTTCATAACCATTTTATAACTACTTCTTTATAGTTGTTATCAATAAGGCATGAGTGGAAGGAGATAAAGGGGAGAGGAACTAAAAGAGGGGGTTAGAGGTCCTCCGATAACTGAGAAACAGCAAGCGTCTGCAAGATTCTTCTTTTATGAGGAAACTAGGCAGGATTAGCCCTCAAGACTGAACATCACGAACCCAGTGGCCTAGTGAAGTTTTCCTCCAGTTTTTATGGATGGAATGGGAAGATGGCCTCCCCTTAGAGCCAAGTTCTCCCCTGTGAAAGGAGACCATCTACCAAATTATTAGAATATTGCTCAGAACCATCCCAGAATCATTTATGTTGGTCATAAATCCTTTCAGGAAATCCAGTTACATAATAGATAGGAGCTTTTCAAACCACACCTCCAAAAAGCTAAAATATTTACCCATATTTTTCAGCATTTAATATTCCCTACTCTTTTTGTTCGTTTGTTTAACAATCTTATATAACATTTCCATCACAATTCCATTTATTATTCCCCATAATGCCAGCTGAAGAAAACATAAACTATGTGACTATACTCAGTTCCCCACACAGTAATTCCACATCAAAGGAGAAGAGACTAGAACAGGGGTGGGCAAACTTTTTGACTCAAGGGCCACAATGGGTTCTTAAACTGGACCGGAGGGTCGGAACAAAAGCATGGATGGAGTGTTTGTGTGAACTAATACGTGTTAACACTGCTGCTGGTGAAGGAGCAGAGGGGAGAGCAAGAGAACCCTCCGCTCTTTCGGCTCCGCGGGCCAGATAGAACAGCCGAACCGGGCCGGATCCGGCCCGCGGGCCATAGTTTGCCCACGGCTGGACTAGAATGACAGTATGTTCAATATTTTTTGGTATCTGATTTTGGTTAAACTCTCGAATTTCATGTTGTTTGAGTATTAAAGTCGCTTCCAGTCGTGTTGAAAAGTCAGTTCAATTTTACTTTTCCATTTGAACATTCAGCTACTACCACAAATTCAACATGTCAAAAAACAAATTTAGTCCTAACCAGTTTGGCTCAGTGGATAGAGCGTCAGCCTGCGGACTCAAGGGTCCTGGGTTTGATTCCGGTCAAGGACATGTACCTTGGTTGTGGGCACATCCCCAGTGGGGGGTGTGCAGGAGGTAGCTGATCGATGTTTCTCTCTCATCGATGTTTCTAACTCTCTACCCCTCTCCCTTCCTCTCTGTAAAAAAATCAATAAAATATATTTAAAAACAATACAAAACAAATTTATTGTCTATCTTCAATCAAGCTAGTTCTCCAACGTCCTTGCCTCTGTCCACGGCACCAGTCTTCCAGTCGATCCAGCTGGAAAACTGCTTCCTTGGCTAAATAAAATTATGTATAGAAGCAATGGGGATAAGTTATTTCAAGGGAGAGATCAATAAGACTTGATGACTGGCTCAGAGGATGCAGGTAAGACATGATTCAAGGAAGATTACCACCCATCTAGCCCTTGTTCCCTTGTCCCCTCCCACTCCTTTATTCCTCCTTTAGTTCTACTGTGAGGAGGCTAAGCTGTCTTGAATACTATCTCATTGGGATACTCCCTGGTAAAAACCTTCAATGGCTCCCCAATGTCATCCAGAGCAAGGCTCAGCTGGCTGATGAATTTCTAGACCTGTCATAATCTGACCCTATCCAATTGCTACAGTTTTCTCACCTTTTCCCAATAGTCATATCTTAATACTACCATTCTTCAAGGTCCAGTCCAAGAACCAAATCTTCCACAAAACATTGGCTTTTCTAGGTACCTAGACTCTCAGGATTGGAAGAAGGGCTTTTATTCTGGCTTCCCTTGTTCATAAAGGCACCAACAACCAGCCCACTGGGCATTTGCTTTGCTCAGGCCTTCCGTTCTGTAAGCCTCCCCTCCCAACCATACTGTCAGCTCTTTGAAGGAAGGCTAATTCCTCAGTATTCTCCTTGTCTGCCTCCCCACTCCTGCCCCAGGTTGCAACACATGTGTCTACTGAAATAATTAAAGGGGAACATGTGGCTAGTTTTCTATAGTATGTCTATACCCCTCTGCCTTTAACACATGGCTTGTCCCTTGCCTCTTTTCATTACACATTGCTCAATACTTCCTGTGCTTTACAATATTACCTTCTCTACTGTTCATGGCATGAGACCCAGAAATCAGGATTTTAAAAAGATTCCCAGGTGATTCTAATGTGCAGCCAAGGTTGAGAACCACTGTGTTAAAGGATACAAAGCAGGAAGGAGATCCAGGATTTCAACTGGGTACTGTGACTTGGAAGCCCAGGATTTTTCTATTTCACTTCCTCACCACCCAACAATGTATGTTCCTTATACAGAGAATCTGCTCTCCTCTAAGAACTAAGGCTTGATGTAGATGGAGGCTTGTGCCAACAAAACTTCCTCGTGTGATCACCTCTCCTGGTTGCCCTCTGGGCCACTCCCATAATTACTATCTGATACACTAGAACTGTGAGTCACGATGACTTAATAACTGTTTTCTTTACCCTTTTTGGTCCCAGAAATCTGTAGCTGCATTTTAATGATGATAGGGCTGAGGAGTGACCCAGAGATGGCAATTTTGTCTGGTCAAAGACTCATACATCCTATCTAATAAAAGAGAAACATGGTAATTGGCGTACGACCACTACCCTTCCCATTGGCTAATCAGCGAATATGCAAATTAACTGCAAGCCAAGATGGCGGCCGGCAGCCAGGCAGCTTGAAACTAACATGAGGCTTGCTTGCTTCAGTAACGGAGGACTCCAACGTTCCCCGCCTGCCTTGCCGGCCTCTGAGCTTGCAGTTTAAGAAACATTGTAACAAATATAGAAGCTAAACAAAACCCCAGAAACCTGCTTTCAGCGAGCCGGGATCTCAGAGCTGGAGTTGATACAGAGTTTCGATTATAGAATGCAAACAAACCAGATACCTTCTTTCAGCAGCAGAGGCCTCAGAGCTGGAGCCAGAGCTAAAGCTGGCCCAGAATAAAAAAGAAAAAGAAAAAAAGGAGCACTTGGGAGCTTCAGTCGGCCTGAAAACAGCCCTCAGCCCCTCATCCAGACTGGCCAGGCACCCCAGTGGGGACC